TCATTCTGTAAACTAAATCACAGGACTGTATTTTTATATATTTAGGATAAATTTGTGATCTGTATGACACCTCACTATGTTCCCTTATTTACTATGTTTGGTTTACTGGAGATTTAAGTAACTTAAAATGTTATTAACTATAAGATGCAAGATGATATTCTTCTCATGATCCATGATTTTGGTCATCGATGTATTTGACGTCCCATCCGCTTAGAAGAGAAGAAAATAGTAAAACGAAAAGGCATAAAAAATAACTTAGGAAATACTGAAATCAGATCTATAGTTGACTGTTGCGAAACTATTTATATCATGGAGGCGCACCTCTCGACTACTGCAATTTATCAGATTCTGATTTGATTTTGTTTATAATACCTAGGCTAACACCATCTGATGTTAAAAATTGAATAAAAAACGTGATGGGTAGGTTACCAGGATTCTATTGATGTTGTTTTGACATGGACGATGCTAAATATGTGATTGAAGGAATATGTTGTCCCCCTACAAAAATTAAGTTTCTAAAAGAGAAGATGCTACTGGTGATATATCTACTAACACATACGAAATTTGATTAGATACTCCTGTCAGATGGCTTTTACACCTCAAAAATGGCGCTCCCTACTGTAAAAGCTTAGGACTGTATAAGCATACAGAGGTCACCACGAGAACGGATAAGAATCCATAAAAACTTGAGTAATAGCTATCAAATAACCGGCTCCCAGTGGGATTTGTCCACATCCAAGAACTAACAAGAAACAGTGGCCGTAGGATGTTTATAACTGATACGGTCTCAAATGAGATTTGCCGAAGAGATGAGGATGCCTATCAACCCCATCACAGTCAGGCAGACTACATATTAGTGAAGTAGCACCTTTAACGTCTCGTGAGTACAAGAATAGTACAAGTTAATAGTGTGTAGTGACTCACATTTATCACGAGAACACAACTGGTTTAATAGAAACAATTATTCTTATAACCAACTGTACCAGTGCTTGTTTTAATGTGCTTTTGTTTGACTGTGCTAATGACAGCTATTTTGTGCTTCCATTCTTTACTTACACTTCGATTGTAACTTCGCGCGAATTCGGTTACCTTCTGTAACCAAGGTTGTATCCTGGCACGATCTCGGTATCCTTTCGATGCCACGAGATCGCCAGCAAATATAACTCGACTTGGTCCATTAATTGCCTTCTGGTATTCGGCTTCTCGGGATTTTATGGAGTCATTTGGAACGAGCTTCTTACGCCTTCTGATCTATTTGGCACGTGTTTCTTGGTAGCGGTGTTCATAGTTAATCACAACTCGACGCCACGCTACATTGGTGACCCGTATTTTGGAACACGCCTCAACTTCTGATCAAATCTTCCAAAGAAGCCAATTCGGTGAGTCTATGATTTATCTATCCACGTCTGTCGTATATTTTCATATTTTTTAATATATAATATACTCGACATGACGGATAACGATAATAATAGTATTAATATAATAGACTCACATGTATGTGTACCGAATCCTTGTTACTTTTTATTCGCGTGACGATGAATTCCACGCTTTATTCGAGAAAGTTTCCCCTATTAACTGTTCTCCTCGCTGACCCGGCTGCTTGGTACGGAATGCATACGCATAAGCATATCTGTCTACCACCCAGCACCAAATGGTTAAGTAAACGGTTTCACTGCCAACTTAAAAGTGCTATACGAGCACACGAAAACGGCAACTGGCACGAAACCTTACCGCTCGTTCTTTTAGGGATCAGAACGAGCTTAAGGGCAGATATCCAATGTTCCGCCCTGAACTTGTATACGGCACGACATTGCGTCTGCCCGGAGAATTCTTCACACCACGGAGCAGACCTAATTTCGGTAAATCAGACTACGTCCATCGACTGTCTGCATTTATGCGAACGCTGTCTCCGGTGTCAACTCGAATACAACATCGACAGGTCGCTCTCCCTCGAGAGTTATCTACCTGTTCACATGTTTTTGTACGAGTAGATTCGGTACGCAAACCTTGGCAACAACCTTACGAAGGCCCTTTTCACGTGATCGCTCGTCACGAAAAGACCTTCAAGGTTGATCGACATGGCCGCGTCGAGATCGTCAGCATTGATCGTCTCAAACCAGCACACGTCGATGACAGTGCCCTATCTGATAACCTGAGATTCAATGCTAGACCTAGCAAACCTACTAGCGGGATCCTCAAACCATCTTCAGGTCCCACGCTAGATACATCTGAGACCTCATTCTCACGTCCCAGTCAACAGCACGCGTCATCTGCAGCGTCTACGGACGAGACGACAGTCTCACGTCCAGATCAGCAGACCACGCCGCCCTTGACTTCGGATGAGATTGCAGGCTCACGCGACGCGAACGAGACTACCGTCTCACGTTCCGGTCGCCGAGTACGGTTACCCGTACGCTTCCGCGACTAGCCGCACAGTTAACAACCGATACGGTGTAGGATTATTCCTATACTACACGCATGCTACACTCTTCTCTTTTTTGATTTTCTTTTTGTTTCCTGAGCCCACGCCTTCGACCATCTCCGTTTGGTTCCGTCGACTTCAGTCAACTTTGGCGAAAGCTGGCCTGATCACCCACGCTCTTGTCAACGTACTCAGTCGATATCTTCGTTTCGAATTTTTGGCACACGCTTGGTCTCGAACTTGGTCGTTATGGTCGCTTCTGGTTCATCGGATCAACGTGGTTTCGTCCTACGTCTGCAGCGTTTCTGGTCCGGACCCCTACGAACGCCATCTTCAGATTCTGGATACAAACCACTCTGGTGTAGCATGCCAACTCAAGCAACAAATACAGCACATCGCTCCTGGTACCGTTCTCCGAAAACGACCTTCGTTGGCAACTCGACGATCAACGATCGCTTTCCTGTTCGCCAATTCTTCCGTCCTACAATCGCTCGTCAGCCGATCAGTCCCACGATTCAAACCGCTATTTATCGAAAGTGTAAACCCTTTCTAGCGGGGGGCTCCTGTAGTGACTCACATTTATCACGAGAACACGACTGGTTTAATAAAAACAATTATTATTATAACCAACTGTACCAGTGTTTGTTTTAATGTGCTTTTGTTTGACTGTGCTAATGACAGCTATTTTGTGCTTCCATTCTTTACTTACACTTCGATTGTAACTTCGCGCGAATTCGGTTACCTTCTGTAACCAAGGTTGTATCCTGGCACGATCTCGGTATCCTTTCGATGCCACGAGATCGCCAGCAAATACAACTCGACTTGGTCCATTAATTGCCTTCTGGTATTCGGCTTCTCGGGGATTTTATGGAGTCATTTGGAACGAGCTTCTTACGCCTTCTGATCTATTTGGCACGTGTTTCTTGGTAGCGGTGTTCATAGTTAATCACAACTCGACACCACGCTACAAGTGGATGGCCACTGAGAGATGGCGAAGAATCTCAATCAGGAAGTTGTCCTATATAGCGTTTTTCAAGCTTAAACATCTATCTCTAAAGATAACACTTATTGAAGCGAAACGTAGAATACCTGGTACAGATTAAACAAGAACATGTAACAAATCGAAACTTTTCCCAGAGCGTTATGACCCAGCCATTACCCAAGGTCGAGAAATATGCTCAATGAGTGAAAAGTGGTGGACCGTATTATCAAACATAGTAAGCCACTTAACTAAAAGTAAGAAAAAAATACCTCTGAAGGTTCATAACACAATAGAAACATACAAACGAAGGTCCTGGTCATATCAACTGTCTTGACAACAAAGATCTTACCAACCAGGGAATGGCAAAAGTCTTGAATCCTTGTAACGCCAAATAATTAAGTTTACAAGCGAGAAAAACATTCCCAGTTCTGTACCGGTTGATCGTCTGGGACTAATCCATCTAGCCCACGGTTTAGTGCTAATAAAACTGTGATCCTAAAGACCTGAGGATTCATCAGTATGTGGTGTTAGTTACCGAGTTCATTGATATGTAGCTTTTTTACATACTCTCTACAATTCAAGGAACGCTTGAAAGCATGAAAATAGACTTCTACGTCGCCAACCACCAGTAAAAGGGAAACATAAGTACCCAAATTTTTACTGACAATTCACATCCAAGGTTGTTGATAGGCCGGATAGTAGCCGGATGAAGGAAAACATAAAAAATAATATGCCTCATATAGTCCAATACAGATCCAGAAACGGGATGCTCTATTCTTTCAATCTTCTACTACAATGGGACAGCTAAGAAACCTGATAGAGCAAAAACATATCAGTCCACCCAGCATTTGTCGATATTGTTAAAGAATTTAGTACACTTACCTATCCAGCTGAGGTCAACTGAGTCCTATAGATAGACCGCTCAAAGAGTAGGCTTGACAACTAAGCCTCACCTGCAAAGTGCCATCGTCCCTATTTACTACCTGGACCAAAATGCATATACCGCCACTGCCCTAGCATTATTATCGTCAAAATTTTTGAATCCATTTCTACCTATTCCAACTCCTATCATTCAATTAACCTTTACCCATTAGAGTATAGACGTCTTAGAGGTGACCTTATGATGGCTTATAGTATCCCTAACACTTCTGAACATCCTCTCAAACACCTACTTAAGCTTAGTCCCAACACTAACCTAAGAGGTAACACCCAAAACCTGGAGACACAACATAGCAGAACGGAGTGTAGACACAACTTCTACTTCTTAAGAGTTGTCAAATTCTGGAATTCGCTGCCGGCCGAGCTAGTCCGAGCGACTTCCCAGGAGTCTTTAAGAGGCAACTTGATCTATTCTTAAGGACTAAGGATAGTATCGCACCATGATTTACTAATTTCTTTTCCTGTTTTATTGTTAACATACCTAGGTCCCTGCCTGGAGGATTCGGTGATCCCCTGCTACTAGACACGGAAGTCTGTTAAGCGAAAGCTTCTTCTATTCCGTCCACAACCATTTGAACCATTGAAATTGTTAACTGATATTCTGGCTAAACAATTTCAAGGTAAGCGCTGGCAACGTTTCTTCCTGGTACGCTACCCATGAAGGTCACTCACACTTATCAGAAATACAATCCAAAGGCTGCGTATGGGATAATTGCTAGCGACTTCACTAAAGTTAGCTATGTTTCTAATAAGAGCTGTAAGTCGGGTGAACTCTGTCTATGTGGAGCCGGTGAATCAGCGATTATATGGAAACCACGTACATCAGAAAAAGTAAACGTGTACCTTTTGTTCAAAAAATACTCTTACTTTTTCAGATTCATACTTTTACAAGGGATACAGGATGCCATCCTATTTCATGTCTCAAGGCGTCTGATATTTCAAGTCTGGATCCGCGAGTGGCTATAGGTTACTCAGATGGACTTGTTAATATCTTCAATATGAATACTGGTGATATTGAGGCTCATTTTCGTGCTGGGCGTTCAAGAGTCACATCTATGGACTTGAAAAATGATTTACTTGTCTGCGCTGCGGTAACAAGTGCTTTTTTGTCATATTTTTAGGATTCTGAAATAAATGTTTATGACATTATTTCTGGGTCTGGTACTAGAATGAAGGGACACCACGGTATCATTACTCAAATGAAAATATTGAATGAAAGGAAAACCTTAATTTCGAGGTAGTTACATCAGGAATTATGTATTTATTAATATATTTCGCTCCATAAAAAGCCCGCTTTTAATTCAGGTTTATTTGTAAGTCTTTTCAATAGTGTTGTGTTGACATACGTGAAATCAAAGTATTTTCATTAATTTATTAGTTAAGGCGGGTTGATTACATGTTAACGTCTTAGGCTGTTAGTTGATGAGGACGTTTCTGACAAATGTCACTTTGTGGTCCAAGTAATATTATTAATTAGTGTTTGTTTTTTAGACCAATCAACATAGATCATATGTCATTTACCATCGTAAATAAAGTATCGTTAGAGATGCAAGAGGTGGTCTTACTTATGCTTAAAAAACAACAGCCCGGGTATTGACTTATGATATCCATGTGACTCGATAGTATATTAACCACTAAGGTTGGGGTGATCGTGTTTGAGGTCTATTTTCATCTTATCTAGTCTTCGTTGGCATGTTTGTTTTATTATTTTATTTTATTTGAACACATAAATATTGGCACAAGAATTCGCCACACAAAACAATGAGAATTTAAGGGGAACGAAAGGAAAGAGAGAGAATGATAACGAAGAGATTGATGTAAGGTGGTGTAATAATAATAATGGTAAAAATGAGGGAACGGAAAGGTACAATCAGAAGAATCCTTTCAGTTAAGGAAGTCACAACCACTTCTTATGAAGAAAGTAAAAGAAAGTTACAGCAGGATCGCCACAGGCTTCTATTACGAACCATATCTGATAACGTCTCTAGCCACTGTGTAGCACCATCTCTCAGACCCCAACCAGGGAGTCGTGAAGGACCAACAGAAGCCAGCCGTTTGCAACTTTCTTTCATACCACGACACCATGTCATGCACTGACCATCTCTCCGCGTTTTCCAACCAGTCCCAGAGTCGGCAAATAATGCATAACGTGGAATTGTCTGAGACGACATTCGTAGAACATGTCCAAGCCACCGAAGTCGGTGTTTCAAGATGGTGACACCAATTGGATTATCATCTCTGTGCCCGAACACACGATGCCGAACCTCTGCATTACTGACGTGGTGTTGTCACTGGATGTCAGCAATCCTTCGGAGACAGCGATGATCGAACACAGAGAGTCGTCTAACGTCCTCAACTCGGAGAGACCAGGTTTCACAAGCATAGAGCAAAACTGCTCTCACCGACGCGTTGTAGATCCGACCTTTTACAGCAAGACTAACATCACGAGGGCTCCAAAAATGGTCCAGATTGGTCTAAGCCGCTCTGGCTTTCACTATACGTGCATTGACCTCATCACTCACACCCCCACCAGCACTTATGCAGCTACCCAGATACACGAACTTCTCGACTACTTCTATTTGTTCACCATCCAGGGTGAGTGCAGGATTAGAATCCTGCCAGTCTTGTAGAAGTACTTTGCATTTCGAAGGTGCAAAGCACATACCATACCTACGGACACTGATTGCCAACTGATTAAGAGCGGATTGCACGCCTTGGGCATTATCGCACAGTAAGACAATATCATACGCATACTCAAGGTCGAGAAGTCTTTCTCCAGACAACAGATCCACACCGCCATTACTTACACCCATCAGAGCTGTTTCCAGAATGTCATCTATGGCAAAGTTGGAGAGGAATGGTGAGATTGGGCAACTCTGTCTAACCTCACTGCTTGTATAGAACAATGGAGAGAGGTGGTTGTATGCCCTCACTCTACCTGAGGTGTTTGTATATAGGACCTTTAAGATGTTAATAAACTTCTCAGGCACACCCTTTTTCAATAGACAATCCCAGAGAACAGTCCTGTCCAACGAATCGAAGGCAGCCCTGATGTCAAGAAACACTACGATTGTTGGCCTTTGAAAAGTATGGCGGTGTTCTAACATTTGGCGGAGGGTGAAGATATGATCAATAAATCCTCAACCAGAACGAAACCCAGCCTGCTCCTCGCGAGTCAATCTTTCTCGGGTTTTAAACAGCCTACGAAGTATGACAGAAGCCAATAGCTTGGATGCAATCGGAAGTAAACTTATCCCCCGATAGTTGTTACAGGAACGACGTGAACCCTTTTTAAAGATAGGGACAACTATCGACTCATTCCATGACGTTGGCACACACTCTAGTTCCCAAACCTTTGTAAACAACGTCGTCAATTCCTTAGTCAAAAAGTCACCACCATCTTTAAAAAGAGCCGGAGGTAAGTCATCTGGGCCAGGTGATTTGTAGCGTTTCAAGAGTTGGAGCTCCTTGCGGACTTCCGCCTCATTTGGTGGATCAGTCGTCACCGACCATGAAGGGCAGGACAGTCCGACCAATGTTGCCGGAGCAGCAGGCATGTTATTCTCACTGATTATACCAAAATCTCTGGTAATAAATGCTGAATCTTGATATAATCTCTAGTACTTTAAGGAGAGGCTTAAGTTTAGTAGTACCAAGTTTAATGTCATCAACTATTGTTACACTCACAAATTTAGTGTAAACGGTACAAACTGTTCACTTCATTCGGGTTGACTGCAATCATGGTCCTAATTTGCAGTGGCTAGATCCACTATGTATTGTGAACGTGAAAAACAGGAATTTAAGAAGCCTCCATTGTAACATTGCAAGTACAAATTGATTTTACTTTTGTATTATCACAACATTTACCTTAATATTAGACTAGCTGAAATTTTTTATTTCAAAGTGACGTTAGCCATAGATTAATATCCTCTTAATTATTTATAGAATCAACCGATCGCTATTTTCTACTATGTAAAGTATCATCTAATAAATAGCCAGACCCAATAACGTGAGAATTTAGGACGAGTGTATTTAGTTACTTGATCTGAAAATAATTATTTGGGTTTTCAAATCCATTGGTTCGGGATCCGGATAAAGCGCCGGACATTCGCTTTTCGTCCTCTCATTTTCGTAAACAACACCCCGCCGCGAGAAGGCAGTGAGTAGGACTTCCCTGTCAGAGGCTGTATACGCGTGACCATATCAGAGCATTTTGAGAGGGAGAGCTAACTCTTCCCACCCTCGGCCGTACCAGAGCACTTGGGGGCAAATAAATCAATAAACGAAATTTCGTTACTCCATTGAGCGTAACTGATATTTCTATAGATAACAAACAAAAACGCCCAACCTCTAAACCAGTGAGCCTGTATCCAACGGTGTTAACGTCTAACTTCAATCGACTCATGATCTTGCGCAACCCTTCATCTATTGTCTAAGGTGGATAACTGTCTCGCACCTGATACGAATTGAACTCCACTGGCCACGGCTTCTCACTAGAACTCCAGGAAATCCATCTTGAAGCTAGTCACTAGTGAGCACATGATTATTGTCAGAATGGGGATTTGTGGAGATCGTAGTGATTCTAACAGTTGAATTCATGAGTCGATCTAAGCTAGATCACTATTAAAAACCTCGAAGCACCAAAAGGTCGTTTTGTCCCAGTATAAGACTCCTCGTCAGTGCGCAAGCGAAACCTTAACTTGTAGACCACTGGATACGTGTAACAATATAACTTCTTTTCAAACTATACGGAGTTGCGAGTCATTTAGATATTTCGTATGTATCGTTATTTTCAGTAACACTACTTTTACATTCGTACAATACCTTAGACAGTTTATTGTATATCTTTTTTCAAGTGCACAGGATAGTTTTATAAAATTTTGGGACCTGAAAACTCAACATTGCTTTGCGACCTTGACAGGACATCCAGGACCGGTATGGGATTTCGCGCTCACTCGTTGTGATGGATTGCTTGTTAGCGGAACTAATGATCAAAGCCTTCGAGTTTGGCAGATAAAATATGTACGTCTGATACATTTTCCTTAAATCAGCTAAACGCACTTCTCTTATTGATCAGGGTTAATTTAACAATAACGTATGCAACTAACATGTGTATCCAATTATGTGATTTCGAATTTACTGGCAGTCTTATTTCTCATACATCAACATTCCTTTTGGTGAGAGGTTTAATGTTGTTGCGTTCATATTATAATACTGGAATAAAAGCTTCCTTCTCAAAGCTGTAAAGTAATAAACTCAAAATTATTTTATTCATCCAGGCTCAACGTTTATTACAATTGCTTTAAGATCTCTAATTTCCTAGGAGTATTTCTTGAAATTCTTCGGTCTAGAAAACTAAATTCATTATCTAATTGAACATTTTATTATTTTTACAAATAAATTTGGTTTCCGTTTGTTTCAGATAAGTGAAAGTGATTCGCTTGCGGCACATATCGACAAAAGCACTTCAACTTCCAATGAAACATTAACTCCCTTAAGTGAACCTCAGTCTCAAATCGCCATACAATTTTCGGGTTGTGTCCAGCGTTCAGGAGTTCGCCGAGTCCACTGTTTGGTTTTCGATCCTACTGGAACTTACTTATTGTGTCAGGTAAGGTTTTAGGAAGATATTCCTTCTTAGTATTGCGAGTTTTTCCGGTAATTTCAACGTCTACAATTTAGTAATTCTATATCAAGGAGATGGTTCATGGTTTATTTATCCTTTTCTGCTAATATTTTCTTGTCGGTTCTAAGAGCTAAATGTATGATACTTTGAAACTGATGTAAAACGTAAAATTGTTCTTACATTTTACAATCCGTTTAAATATGGAGTAAAAAATATTACGAACTCTTGTTTGAATAGCTTGTGATATATACACAAGTTTCTGAACTTCCCTAAGTTTTTTAGTTAGGATTTTCAAATTTAAATTAATTTTTTCCTTTTAAAAAATGTTGTTGCCATTCAGTAATCGGATGCAGGTTCGCTTACCAGGGTTTGATTAAGAGCTAGTGACATTGCTGCGTTATCAAACATAAATTAAGTATTGTTGACCTCAAACATATCATTTAATGTCTAAAAGACGAGTGCTCATAGTGTATTCATGGTGAGTTCACTCATAAACTGTAAATCTTATTACGAGTAGGTACGAAAAAGAATATTGACGTCGTTAAGAGTGCATGTTATCGTAAAAGTACAGTTACGTACCTCATAGCTAACTCTTAGATTAATTTTTAGGTATCAATGTCAAGGTTGGACTTGATAGTTTGTAATTAAACTTGTGTTCATTTAATTTGATTATTCATTTAATCTGAAAACGTGGCTTAGATTAAGTCACGAAACGTCAGAAATACGATTTTCTATTCACTGGGATGTAATAAAAATATATTTCTTATTTTAGGTTAATTGTTTCGAAGATTTATGTGTCCAGTTTTTTGGAAGAAATTTGACGTGTTACTGAACTAAAACTTTTGTTCTCGATACTTAATTTTTATTTCTTCTAGTCTTTTGATCGAAATGTGGAAATATTTCGACTCTTGAATGAGGAGGAAAAAGCTAAAAGATTACGTAAAAAGACCAAGAAAGCTAAAGCGTAAGTTATTACCAACTATAGTTGAACTGTTTTGGAAAAAATGTCAACTAAAATATACAACTTATAAAATACCCCACAAACGGGATTCCATCAGAGATTAATGTAATGATTTCACTAAGATGCTAACCTGCTCATTTCATTTGTGAAAAGATCCTAAATCTTTTCAAATATTAGTAACTCAGTTTGGTAGTGATTACTCTGTTCTCGTTTACGTGACTTTCCAGTTTTTTGGAAATTACTATCCCCATGCTGATTAACAAGCGATCCAGATAACAGTATTCTCTTATTTTTTAAAAAGAAGTTTTCCAATATAAATTTTCATGTCCAAGCAGAGCTTTATGTACGCTTAAGCTGTAGCATTCAACAATATTTCGCACCTACGTGGATTACTCTAGATTTTGGACAGACTAATTAATCTATCCTTTTCAAGATATCAACCAATCTTAGACCTGAACTTGTCACTTACTCGCTTGTAACCTTGATTTTTTTATAAATGAGCGTATATCTGCATTATCACTTACGCTCTCCTTCATATGTCTTCAGCTTGTTTTTCTGTCTGGCCATAAATATTGAGTCAAGCTTTATTAAAACTAAATCGGCATGTTTACGTTCTCTGATCTGCTTTTTTATTGCTGTCTAAGTTAACGGACATGTGAAAAATACATGCCCAAAAGCTTTTCTCATAATTGACTTTTTTTGTTGCGTTATCCGCTAACGCAAACTATGTTTATGAATATGTAGAGGGTTAAGTGGGATATATATTGCTTTCACATTGTTATCCGACCATATGAAGCCAGAAAACGTGTCTATAAATATCTCCAGTACTTTTAATCTACTAACAGGTCTAGGTTATTTTCTGTCGTAATCATTATTGTTATTTCAAGTAGCTTGTGCGATATATTTCAGTATCAACACTTGTATTCTTTCTGCACTGCTTAGTCGTAAATTCAAATAACTCAGCCATTAGTTAATTTTAAAACCACATTAAACACTGAATGGAGCTCTCCCAGCGAAAGGATTGATCTATAAAGAAAAATCAAATTATCAGATTTACAAAAAAGACACTATAATTTCAAATAAACACTGTCGATGGAATTCATAATGTCGCCTTGGGATTTATGATTAGTCATAATCAGGAAAACCAATCACGCAATTTATCACTACATTAGGCATTTCTCCAAAATCTGTATAGTATTTGTAAACTGCCATCCGAAGCATCAAACCTGTAATCCTGTACATATTTCAAGATTATACCTCAACTATCTCACAACGTGACTCGTATTGTGAACGGTATGCATAATTTATATCGGCTTGAGTTTCTTTTCCTCCTAGAGGCTTAGTAAAGTATTAATAACTTAAGTGTGTTGGATTTTAGGTTTATAAAGTCATACATTAAACTGTCCGTTTTATTGACTTTCTGTTAAACTTTGCGCAAAAATAACCAGTTACCATATAAAAACTTGTCTCATCCACAATGAAAAGGAGTTTTTTCAATTGATTATTTTTGCCCCAAAATTACTCAGACGCTATTTGACTGTTAGCTAAACCTTTTTTCATTACATTCATTTCTAGAAAAGGCTTGGATTTATCTAGTGTGGTTCTAGAAGCAGAAGATGAACTGCGTCCTATCTTGAGAATTAATCTGTCAGCCAAGCCTGCTAGTTGTGACATTTTGGCGCCGCGTTTAATCAGTGAACATGAATCTCAGAAGCATCTTGTTCGTGTATGTATATTTTTTGTTAGGCTTTTTGTAACATCTCTTGTGTATTGGTAATGTGTATTCCTCTGCTATATGCTTTAACTTTCTTTTATACTAGATTATCTGCTCCCTTAAGAATAATATGTTGGAAGAATTACAACTGGTAGTTCCTTTATCTCCATTTAAGTTACAAACCCTACAACCGACGCCAACATACACTAAGAAATGTCCGAATGCCCGCTTATTAAATACTGTTTCTATTTCGGACACAGAAGTCCGATAGTCGCTTGCAATTTTACTAGTGATAACCTTGGAGTTTTCACATTATCCCAAACGGAAGCAAAACTGTGGAGTAGGTATGTACAAAATGAGTTATAATGTAATTTTCCCTAAAGCTTGTCTATACTCATCCTTTATATATTTCCTAGTATTAAATCATAATTGAATTAAAATTACTCGAATGTCTTATTCGGCTAAGATATAACTTGTTATGTTTGAATGCCATGGTGATTGAACTTAAACTGCACCTTTTGTTTTCTCTGCCTCCAACACTAGAAGCTTAATAGGAATCTAACAACGAGCACATTTGCGTGGAACATTATAAACTTCAGTTGTTACTGTATAATGTAAATTATTCCCACCTATGTTCCTTATGTAATGCATTGAGCACTGGTCGAACCTTCATTTCTATTTTGCTTCTCTAAAATGTTCTTTTCACGTGTCAATTTGATAGGGTGAACAGTGTATTTACGCCCATTTTCATTCACTACCTCCGTAGAGCAACTAGAAGTGAATTTTATTGTCAGCTAAGTGGTTTTCAACAGGTTTACGTGACTAATAATGTAATGCTAACTGATGACTTGAGTGTATAAATTTAATGTCTAATCCCAGAATTAAATCATTAAAATAATCAGTAGGAAATGGTCGTCCGTATGTAGAGAAAATAGTTCATTGTCTTCTATTTTGAGGTCAATAACAACTTGCTTTTAACTAGATGCAACTTCCCCTATATCCAAAACTCATAAGCTAGTCACCAGACTTCTTCTGTACAAACTTTTACGTACGTGAATCTTATTGGAAATAGCTATTGGTAATCGTTGTATTTACAGAACGATTACTCTTCCTAAAAAACCTGTTTTTACCACCGATGAATAAATACTGACATAATATCCTTATTTCGTATTTATATAATATTTTAATGGTCCACTAAATTCATGAAGGATCAACGTAAATTTATTTCCTTTATAATGAAAATGTACGGCTAACTTATTATATTGACGAAATGCTGGATAACTCTAAAGCTTTATAGTAAGAGAAAAAGTGCGAAATTGACTTTCTATTTATATTAGCGTAGTTTAGTCTACATTCTCTCATTCTATAATATTTTTTAAGAAAACCGATATAGCGAGACTTTTCCATTTGCTATATATATTTTCTAAGATTATTAATTAGAATGATTTTCTATACGTTCGGAGCGAATACAAACTGAAATTGGATAAAGTATTCGGTCTGGGATATTAATTTTTGTGAAATAAGTATTGACAAAACACAACGTTTTCACACGATTCACTAATAATCTTGAATCACATTCAGGAAGAGTTTAACCTTTTTAAATCCCTGCTCTTTTTGTTTCTCTGTTAAATTCTCTGGTTGGTTTACACCACGATGTACGTATTTTTCTATCATTTTTTAATGTATTTAGACGTTCAACAGCATGTCTAGCTACGTTAGAATGGAAGAATCATTCAAACAGCAAGCATAATAATTCAGATGAACCATCCTCAAGCAATCCATTACCTAATAAGGCATCTTCAATGGTACTTGCTCCAGGTGATCGTCATGTAGTCATTGGATATGAGGTACTTCTTATCGAAATGAAATATTTTTTTTAATGATAGAGTATATTTCTTGCATAATTGACATGGTGTCCTATTTTCTTCTATAATTATTTAACCTTAGAGATGCAATCTCAATAATGTATTTTTTATAAATAATTCTTTTTGCATAAGATATTGTCATCACTAGTTGAACTGTTCAGTTTTTTATTGTTGAGCAATAATATCAGCTAATGTATTTTAGATTATAACGCATAGCGGTGACGATTTTCCAAAATAGATTTTATTGTAATCATTTAAATGTAAACTATTTTGTTTCGATTAACATTTGGTTCGTCAGAACATTGTCATATGGGTTCCCCTTTATATTATAGAATAGTGTATTGTGTACTCCCAAAAGAACTACACAATAAGGTAAATGTGGTAAATTGTATGTGATTTGAATATCCTGAAAAGCGGAATCATTTAGGGATATATTTACTTGCACCACAAAGTAATCTACTACCATCCAGAAATACTGAAATAGAATTATATATAAAGCTTATTATGATCATAAGTTTATGTTAAAATCAATAAAAATAGTGTAAGCGACATAGTTTTACACCCACACAGATCCATTAATTGTATTTTTTCGCTCTACAGCCTTCAATTCTTCCTTATAAGTAATAGGAAACTAAATCCATATGTGTTATTTCCACAACATATTCTGTGTTAAATATTTATAGGTATTTAGTTTATATAAACTTACCCACTCCACAGTTCTACCAAAATGAAGTTTATTTTATTACCATAAATCTCGTCTTCCTACTACACTTAACACTTTACTGTATACCAATAATTCATGTTTTTATAGCTGATCATTCAAAGGGTGTTAGTACCACATATTAAGCAATAAATTATGTAAATGAGCAACTCAACAAATATTTATTTACTCAACAATGAACCACCTCTATCGTTTAAAGTTAGTGACGGACTCTGGTTGTCTAAAATTCGTATCTTGAACAGTGTTGTGACATTTGATACAAGCTATAAATTTATCACATTTTTTGACTACTGTCAACGACTTGAAGTATTCCATCAAACAATAATACTTCGAATATTTTTCAGTCATAAAACTAATGAAATTTATTTCTTTTTCAGACTGGTCAATTAATTTTATTCGACTTGACTTCGAAATCAGTAGTTCAGATTATCGATAAAGCTCATACTGGTGCTGTAAGAAGTATTGCTGTAACCGGAGATAAGGTATTTTAACCACGTCTGATTTGATATTTATTTAGAAGTCTTTCAAAGATAAAATCAACAATTTTTTTGACGAACCCTTAACAAAATAAATTGAATGTTTCGTCACTGTCCGGTTGAAAATTGTATGTTACCACCGAATACGAGGACTGAAGCAGATTTTCTGAAACCACGTGCACCATTCAAACTGGCTGCCTTCAACGTTCGCACATTTATGCAGGTCGGACAACAGATAGGGCTGGCTATGTCTTTGGAAAGTCTTAATATCGATGTTTGTTGTCTATCCGAGACCCGTATTCAAGACTCTGGCGAAGTACTACAAATTCGATCTCCATCTGTCGCTTCGAAAAGCTTGTTTTACGTGCGCTTATCCGGGGACCCTGTGGCATCTTCGTCTGGTCTTGCTGGCGTTGGTGTCGCACTAAGCGCTAGAGCTGAGGCAGCACTAGTCGATTGGATCCCCATTAACAGTCGGTTATGTGCTGTTAGATTAGAAAGTTCCATCAAAGTGAGAAGAAATCGGCGTGAGAAACGATGTCTTTTCGTCATCTCCGCCTATGCCCCGACAGATTGCAGCCCGGATGCAATCAAGGATGAGTTTTACCACCAGTTATCAGTTCTTCTCCAGAAAGTGCGTTCGACAGATATTGTAGTACTAGCCGGAGACTTGAATGCTCAGGTCGGGCGTCTAGGCACAGAAGAGAGTCGTTTAGGTGGCCGATGGGGACTCGTTGGTCGCAGGTCAGATAACGGGGACCGTCTACTGCAACTTTGCACAGACCACAACCTGTTTCTGGCTAGCACTAACTTTCGGCACAGTCATCGCCGATGTGCCACCTGGCGTCCTCCCTCTGCATCTCAAGCCTGGACTCAGATTGATCACATCGCGATCAGCTACCGCTGGCGTGGTTGTGTACAAGACTGCCGCTCCTTTTGGAGTACCTATCTGGACTCTGACCATGCCTTGGTCTGCGCCAATCTTGCCTTACTTTTCAGTGGACAACGAAGTGACCCCACCAACGGATTGATGTTAGCAAGCTGGTTGCAACTTCTGTTGCAAGTAAGTATCGAACCGAGCTAGCCTCTAGGCTAGCTACCACTCCACCGAAAAGTATAGATGAGCATTGGTTGCAATTGCATGACGCCATGAAAATGGCGGGAACAGTCAGTTGTGGGTTTGCGAAACGTCCCGCTTTTAAGCACTGGGTTTCTTCTGGTTCCTTACAACTCATTGAAGCCCGTCGGTCTACTCCGGGTGACCGTGAGTTTGACCATAAACGAAGGATGTTACGTAAGGAAATTGGGCAAAGCTTGCGTAAGGACCGAGAAGCCTGGTGGTCGATGCGTGCTAATGAGCTGGAAGCAGCAGCTGCATCTGGTAACTACCGGAAGCTCTTCCAGCTCATCCGAGCCACTGGCAGCAAGAAGTCTGGTGTGAGTGAAACAATCTGCGAGGATGATGGGATGCCAATCACTAACATCCATCGACGTCTTGGACGATGGGCAGAATTTTTCGAAGGGCAGTTCAACTGGCCTGCTGCTCCGGCAACATCGGTCAGACTGTCCTGCCCTCCATGGCCGGTGACGACTGATCCACCAAATGAGGAGGAAGTCCGCAAGGAACTCCAACTCTTGAAGCGTTACAAATCACCTGGCCCAGATGACTTACCTCCGGCTCTTTTTAAAGATGGTGGTGACTTTTTGACTAAGGAATTGACGACGTTGTTTACAAAGGTTTGGGAACTAGAGTGTGTACCAACGTCATGGAATGAGTCGATAGTTGTCCCTATCTTTAAAAAGGGTTCACGTCGTTCCTGTAACAACTATCGGGGGATAAGTTTACTTCCGATTGCGTCCAAGCTATTGGCTTCCGTCATTCTTCGTAGGTTGTTCAAAACCCGAGAAAGATTGACTCGCGAGGAGCAGGCTGGGTTTCGTTCTGGTCGAGGATGTATTGATCATATCTTCACCCTCCGCCAAATGTTAGAACACCGCCATACTTTTCAAAGGCCAACAATCGTAGTGTTTCTTGACATCAGGGCTGCCTTCGATTCGTTGGACAGGACTGTTCTCTGGGATTGTCTATTGAAGAAGGGTGTGCCTGAGAAGTTTATTAACATCCTAAAGGCCCTATATAAAAACACCTCAGGCAGAGTGAGGGCATACAACCACCTCTCTCCATTGTTCCATTCGAGCAGTGGGGTTAGGCAGGGTTGCCCAATCTCACCATTCCTCTTCAACTTTGCCATCGATGACATTCTGGAAACAGCTCTGATGAATGTAAGTAATGGTGGTGTGGATCTGTTGCCTGGAGAAAGACTTCTCGACCTTGAGTATGCGGACGATATTGTCTTACTGTGCGATAATGCCCAAGGCATGCAATCCGCACTTAATCAGTTGGCAATCAGTGTCCGTAGGTATGGTATGTGCTTTGCACCTTCGAAGTGCAAAGTACTTCTACAAGACTGGCAGGATTCTAATCCTGTACTCACCCTGGATGGTGAGCAGATAGACGTAGTTGAGAAGTTCGTGTATCTGGGTAGCTGCATAAGTGCTGGTGGGGGTGTGAGTGATGAGATCAATGCACGAATAGTGAAAGCCAGAGCGGCTTATGCCAATCTGGGCCACCTTTGGCGCCTTCGTGATGTTAGTCTGGCTGTAAAAGGTCGGATCTACAACGCGTCGGTGAGAGCAGTTTTGCTCTATGCTTGTGAAACCTGGCCTCTCCGAGTTGAGGACGTTAGACGACTCTCTGTGTTCGATCATCGCTGTCTCCGAAGGATTGCTGACATTCAGTGGCAACACCATGTCAGTAATGCAGAGGTTCGGCATCGTGTGTTCGGGCACAGAGATGATAATCCAATTGGTGTCACCATCTTGAAACACCGACTTCGGTGGCTTGGACATGTTCTCCGAATGTCGTCCCAGAGAATTCCACGTCGTGCATTATTTGCCGACTCTGGGACTGGTTGGAAAACGCGGAGAGGTGGTCAGTGCATGACATGGTGTCGTGGCATGAAAGAAAGCTGCAAAGGACTGGCTTGTGTTGGTCCTTCACGACTCCCTGGTTGGGGTCTGAGAGATGGTGCTACACAGTGGCTAGAGACGTTATCAGATATGGCTCAGAATAGAAGCCAGTGGCGATCCTGCTGTAACCTTCTTTTACTTTCTTCATAAAAAGTGGTTGTGTCTTCCTTACCTGAAAGATTTCTTCTGATTGTACCTTTTCGTTCCGTCGTTACTACCACACTACCTTACTCCAATCTCTTCGTCATTGTTCTCTTTTTCTTTTGCGCTCCTTAGTTTTTTTTTCTACTTCTCTTCGAATTCTCATTGTTTTGTGTGGCGCATATATATTGGTGCTCTCTTGTACCAATATTCATGTGTTCAAATAAATAAATAAATCGTTACTTTGAAATGAACCTACCATCACCTTTGTTTGGGAGTAGTACCTAGATGTGTATTATAATTATGAGGGTAACCCACTAGTTACGTCTATAGTATTCGCCATAAGCTACTCAAATTATGCAAAACATATGAGGAACTAAATGATAAGACACAGTTTGGATTTCATTACCAGTGCTCTTTTTCTATACCTTTCCTAATTTAGTTACTGTGTTTATGGTTGTTTTTACTCTTTAGTTCACTTCTCTCTGTAAAATAAGGTGACCTACCACAAGTGAGGATTGCACATATCTGATATAATCGATACTGGATTATTAATCTTATTATTATTATTATTAATAATATTTCACTGACTAATTTTCTCTCTCGAAAGTGCATTTTTAAGGTGCTTTCAAATTTTGCGAATTCGTTGATTCTGTTTTATAAAATAACGACTATAACTTTTTCTTGAAAACATGGAGAATAAGACAACATAATACTGTATTCTAAAGATATATTGACACTATTCTACATTGTTGAATATGTTTCTGTCTTTCATTTGTAGAAAAAGATTATATCCGGTGGATCTGACAAACAAGTGAGGTTCTACGATTTTAGTTTAAAAACTTCTGATAATGGGTAAGTGTAAATTCTCATAGTATATTGTTTATTTAATAATTTTAGTAAGATTTGTTGCTAATTACGAAGTTTGTATACAATACTTCTTTGCTTAAAATCAGATTGTTGTTTTAACCATTAAAATTTGAATTAGTGGAGGGTTACCTTTTGAATATATCTGTAAGCTTATTAGCTGAAACAGTATTAAAAATGCATTATACTTGGTTATGTAAGTACTTTTATCAACAAATTATGAAATCAGTTAGCTTTTGTAGTTTACGCACATGAACATTGAAAAATTACAATGAATACTTTCTTTTTCTTATTTTAGCAAACCACATCTCTTTCTTGTGGAAAGCTGTCCTTCAAAAACTGTCTCTGACCAAATTAGTTGTTTAGCTGTTTCACCAAATAATCGACTAGTGGTTGTTGCTTTGATGAATTTTCATGTGGATGTATTTTTCACTGATTCTTTCAAGGTAGGATATTTTATTTTAAGGCCTTATTTTCATTTTGCATTTATAGAACTGTCTTCTTGTCAATTTGTTTATTTAGGGACATAGTATGCTTCTATTTGAATAAAGTTGATAAAAACTACTGTGCATACCTTCATTAATGCCTTGTACATAATTCTATTTTTATTAGCGAATACATTCACTTTATGGTCATTCTGCTCCAGTAACCAGTTTGGATATTTCTTCTGACAGTCGTTTAATTATAACAGGCAGTACTGATAAAACAGTTCGTTTATGGAATTACAGTTTGGTAATTGTCAGAGACGATTTACTTCACATTCAGAACCGTAAGTTTTTTCATTTAACTTCAAAGTAGTACTTTTTTGAATTTATATATGCTCTCGTGAATTGCTAAATTTCAAAACTTTAATTCTTGATGTTGAATATATGTGTGCAATTCACAGTCTTAGCTGTGAAATAAACAAGACGAAACCTTCACCTTAGTAGTCTGTTTCCATTTTCCTACACTGGGATTCACTATATACTTCACTAAGTTCATTAAATTGAAATTTTTACTGTAAACTGAATTTGGCTACCCAATGTCACTGATTCGAATTATTGGTTACTGGCAAGTTATCGTTTATTATCATTAGGTCTTATTGAAGATTCTAGGTACCATATTATTTTCATGCCTGTTACAGTTATAATTAACTCGATTTTCTTTCTCGACTATTTTCTAGTATCACTTGTGTTCGATTCATTCCACATACTTCGCTGGCTGTCTCTTCCGATAAAGGTGGTCAGATTAAACAGTGGGATATTAAGAAGTTCCGTGAAATTACTACCCTTAAGGTATGTTAAGTTTTTCATGCAAATTAGGTTTAGTATTTAGTGTTTCATGGGTGTCACTGAAATGGCTGTAACGGATAAAATATCTGTGTCATTAATTATAAGGGTACTTGTAAATAAATCTTCTAAGAAACACTTCATCTCTCGTTTGATCATAGTGCCTTCCTAAAAATGTTACATATTCGCAAGCGGTTAGTGTTCAGAGCAAATTCATGTTTTATATATTATACCCAATGGAAAAATGTATCAATTTTTTGTGAAACTCATTTTTCCTTTAAAGACTAAAACTCTCATCGTTCATTCACGTTACTACTAAATATGTAGTAGACAAGATGAAATTTTGGTCAATAAAGATAAAGTCCATTTTATTTATTTGCTTATTGCAACCTTTCAAATAAGTGATCGAACACCATGAATAACTTGGGATCTCACCTTGTAGACCAAAAGCACCTTTAAGTTTGCAACAGTTTGTCGTATCACTTGATTTTTAAACTTCACGTTTTCATTTGATTTGCACAGAAAAATGTATCGCTTCTGCTTACTATCTAGTGATCGATTAGGTATAGTGATTGACGATACGTAGCACAATTTATTTTTATTTAGCATCCTGTGCTAATATGGTAGGATCTTGCATGCATAATTCTGACATTTCTTTAATCATTTCCAGGGTCATAACGGTAGCGTAACTTCTTTGGCTACAACGATTACTAACACAGCTCTTTTGACCCAAAAGAAAACACCTAAATTGGAAAAAACACGCAAATCACGTGCACGGAACAACCAAGACGAAGGAAGCAATGATGATGATATGGATGAACTATGGGGAGGTCTTATTTTATCTACTGGTCAAGATTTCAGCATAAGAATATGGGAGGAAGCTGATGAACTTCTGATTTTAGAAGAAGAGGAACAAATTGCGCGAGAACAGGAGGAGGAGGAAGAATTGGTTCGGTCAGAAGCAGTGATTCCTGGAGCAATGCCTTCAGAAGCTAGTGAAATTGGTCCTTTAGGCCGACCGACCGGTAATACAAGAGATGCTGTAAGTTTATCGTGAATCTCTAAAATAATTTTTTTCGTTATTAACCTGTGCAATGTCGAATGATTAGATCAAACAAAATTCAAGTTTACGATCTTATATTTAAAAGCTGAGTGCGTCAAGCAAATAGATTGTAGTTTCACGAAATTTTATTCCCTGTAATCTACTTTGCTTTACAAGAGTAACCGTTTAAGAAAGAGACATTTTCTTGAACACGATTTAAAGATACTACAACTTTAGTTAACTTCAACGTTTGTAAATACTAAGAATCGTGCGTTTGTATAACACAGTTCAACTTCACTCAAGTTGATTGTTTTCTTCATATCTGTTTGAGCAACTACCAAATTTAACACAACTGTAACTGAATGTTCGCGGCATTCCTCTTCACTAGTAAAATGCTTGGTTTCAAACCGAACTTCATTTTCGAATGTTAGAGGAGGCAGATAGTACCTTTGATACGTACACATGTATACCTGATAGCTTAGTATGCAACCTCATCCTAAAACACAAACAACCATTACAGTGGTGATCGGTTAATTTGTAACTTCCCTTTAGCATAATTGAAAAAACAATGGACGAAAAAAGGAATAACCAGACTTGTGAACTGTTAGCAATAGCTAAAAAACTACTTTTATACATTGTTGAAGAACATTGAGTGTGTGCGACATTAATACACTTATTAACAGTTTTCTAGCTTCGCATCAGAATCAATGCACGTCAAGTGAATTCTAGCTTACCATTAGAAGTTTTATCACAATGAACATCAAAGATACTCAAATCTTTTTTACCAGCTAAACAAACCGTATACTCAATCTCTTAATAATTTCAGGTTTCTTCAACACTAATTCTAACGATTTCATTTTTACACACTTTCTACTCGTAACTTTCAGGCTGATATGTTTATGGAAGCAATGGACATTTATGAAGAAGAGATAGTCAAACGTAAAAATGGAGCTAAAAACACAACACCACATCCTCTAATGGTTGCACGTGGAACAAATTGTCCAGAGAAATTTCTACTCAAAAGTTTAATGGCTCTGAGAGCACCGTATTCTCGTTTAGGTGGTGGTGGAGCAGGTTTAGAACATGCACTGGGCGCTTTAACTAGTGAACATGTTCGCCGTTTACTTCCTAAGTTAGCGGATTGGTTATCACGTGGTTGGGAAATAGAACTTGTTGGACGTTCAATTCGTCATTTAGTAACTCTACATTTTGGTCTTGCAATATCATGTTCCGAGCTACGTGACGCAATCCGTCAGTCATCTAAGGCTAGGATGGAACAGTTAGTCCGTGCAAAAGTACGTCTCTTGTTTTAGCCATATTATTACTATAGTTTCATATAAATAAAAATAATATATTTGTAATATCCCAATGAGTAGAAAATTGGATTTTTCTGACGTTTCGTGGCTTAGTGTAAGTCACTTCTTCAGAGAACAAATAACCAAATTAAATTAATCCAAGTTTAAATAGTACAATAAATAGTACTATAGTTTCATATATTCAAGTCATTTATCTATTAATAATGGGCTGCTTGTTTATTGTAATATTCTAATTTTCTTCATTTAAACGAACACGATCCTCATAAAATCTCTACTGCATGATGGGACAAAAAAATAAGTAGTAACTAATATCTATTCCTGTCATCCATTACTTTTTTAGTTATAAATGTGAAAATTATAATTGAAGCTAAAAGGAAATATATGGATTACGATATAATTTTAGGCCTGCAAACCGATTTCATAAATGATTAACATGGTTATTTTCTCTTTGTGTGTATCATTTTAATTATAGTTTGTGGAGAAAAGGAAATTGTTCTTATTAGTTGTACAGGTCGACTCAGACTCACAAAAGACATCTAATTTAACTGAGGCTATTCTACTATCTAGACTTGCTCCAGAATCGATCGTTTACATATGATGATAGTGATCACCCGAAATATTTGTGATCTCCAATTCATGTAATCTGTGCTTTTATAGTGATAGTTACCCGGCAACAATAAACAGAAAGAAGGAAATATCCTATTCCTGGTGGAGTTTCTTTTTTCTAGATAGATAGCTTAGTCGTGAAGCTTTCATTATTCTTCTGAACAACAGCAGCACAAACTTCAGGTAGAAGTGAGGTATTCGAATTTCTGCACATATAACTAGTAGTTTGTCATGTCGATCCTAATAGGGTATTGTTGCCCTACAACCTGTCTGCATATTTTTCTTAATTGTCCCTCCCTTTGACCTGATTCTTTATCCTAATGTAGTTGCGACTTTGATCTGTATAAGTTGGCTTCCGACATACCTAAGTGTCCGGTTCATCTGTGTTGATCCTGGTGATCAAGACACCTAAGAATAATAGCTTGTTGTGCGAATCCTTTTCCACTGTGAATTTTGTCATTGAGGACGTTTTTGATCGAAATCTATTTATTTTCCATTTCATCCTTTTTAATGATGATGAATCTAAGTTTTTGGCTTGACCAGTGGAAGTCGTGATTTTACTAGAAGGAAAAAGCCATACAACAGACAGACACCAACAATGTATAACCTTGCACAGATTGGTATCAGTCTAAGTTACCACACATTACAATGGTAGAAATCTAATCAGTTGGAAAGCTAAGGATCCTAAATAATAAAGGAAAAATATCTCTCCCCTAACTAGCTATTCTATTCATGTTATCTACGATCTCCAACCATAATGTTTGAAAAAAATGAGAGTAGTGTAATGTAGAATCAATTTATATTGATTACCGTTTGTTTGAAGGGTTTTATGGAGATTGGTTTAATTTCTAAGGTACCAGTAGTAGCACTGAACAGCTCTTTTACCCTAGTACGGAACTCTTCAGCAGTTCGCACCTAAAATACCACTGGGGATCGAATACAAGGGCTTCATATCTTACAGCTAACGCCTAGCGATTACAACTATTACGTTGACATCTCATGGTACGACTTGAAATTTAATCCATTTATGATATAGAGCGACGGTTACCTAATGTCATTGATGAAAGCTTTCTTACTTCCAATATAATAAACTCTAAAATCCCACCTTCTCACTAGAATTTGAACTACATCTCGAAGTCACCAGTGAGCTGACTGTTACAATTTAGCTGGAGGGATTTTGTGTCGATTTGTTTAGTTTATTTAACTTTGAATATTTATTCATATCGACTCGCTGCTATACTGAAGTGAAATGTTTTCGGAACTATCAGTTCTAATGACAATCACTTCTCTACATTAATAAACATCAATAAGGTTATAACATTCTTAAAAACTTTAATTATTTTCACTTATTTCTCTTTTGTACATTTTAGAATCTTATCGGTATGAATTTAGCCGGTTTAGAATGTTTAGCTAGAAAATTAGAAGAGAATCAACAAATCGATCTATTCGATGAATTAATAACAACACGAGATAAACGAATCAAAAAACACAAAGTTAAACAAGCTCGTTTAATGCCGTTACTTCCCGATTAATTTTGTACGTCATCGAGGGTACATTTTCATATATATATATTTGTAAATAAAATATAAATATTGTACTGTAATTTAAAATAACATTTATTCATATTTTACATAGTGAAGTGAAGAGGGGGGAGGGAGGTAGCAAGGTAGGCCGTTTATCATATTTCATGTTTATGATAAATACAAAGATAATTTCATATTTCGTAATATACGTTTTAAAGAAGAAAAATAAAGATTACAAATTGTCGATTAAATAGCTTTAATAAAATTTCACTTAACCATTATATTCTCATATACTTATCAACTAATTGAATATAAGTTATACTCTAGAAAATTAATGATATTAATAATCTTAGTATTAGTGTTCAGTTTACTGAACCGCATGAAGTACATCTCAAAAGTTATTACTAATACTGTTCAGATGTTTTTTTTTCTATAATCTATTCACTGTAGTCTGTGATAAAACAAAAATAGATAAATATATATTTGATTAGACTGTAATTTTGTGTGTTAGATTATTGCATTATTTTTTCTTGTAAATCAAATTATAATCTCTATTCATTGTAATTCTTAAATGAAAATTGACTATTCAATATAAAACATGTTTTATTCAATAAATTTACAAATAAACGTCTATTATTTTCAAATATATAATAGAATGAAAGTATATGTATAGACTATTATGAAACATCTTAGTAGTCATTTCAGAATCTATCTACCATTTTGTTCGTATAAATTTACATGAAAATGCTAAGTTGTGTAGATCTCATCATGGATGTTAATTGATAGTAATTTCGACTTAAACAGAAATGGTGCACGATTTTGATTTCAGCAACATATTTCATACATTAGTAAGTGTTTACAATTTCTCGTTTCTTATATTCAGAATTGAGATTACCAAATCCCTGTCACTATACTATCTTTTTTATCCCATTATCACATTTTATCGTTATATTATAAGTTTTATATTCAATATTTAGTTACCAGTCGAATACGGAACCCTCGTTTCTTTCGTTTTAAGATTGAACAATCAGATGTCCATAAATCTCAGTGTTGATTTCTACGCTGAGATTCAAACTCGTTACCTTTCAATTGAAAATCCAAAAGTGTATACCAGTGAGTTGCTAAATCGATTACTAAAACCTGTGACATTTTCACTAAGAATCCAAGTTTCATTTTAATAGATGTAAACTGCAGTTTAGTTTATTTTATTTGTATCATCATCAGATATAATTGTGGAATCCACATCCAAAAGCAAGGTGAAGACATTTACTTAACCTCGAGAAATTTCCATAAACTGTATGATGACTGATGAGGATTTGGATTACTGATATTTAAGTTAGTTGTTTAGTCCTTTGAACAATTCGTTACTCTGATATTTCTAATTACTTTGAAAGTTCACAAAAAACAACAATCAGTGACATTTTTTAAGCTACACAATCAAAAACACATGAAGGATTTAGTGAAAATTCAAAATGATATCAGCTGGTAGTGTTAGATACGATGGAAAAAGTGTTTTAATCTGGGACTGTTCAGTTGTCCACATTCATAGTTTCACAAAATACAAGATCTACTTATATGTAATGTAATGACAATTTTAAATCTCTTATGAAGCAAACTCGAAACAACCAGAATAAACTAGTCGTTAAGTCATTCACTGTTTTTTCGATGGCTTATAAAGTAATAACATGTATTAACAAGAGATTACCTTCAAAATGAACTAGTTCTGTTGGTTATACATAAGTGACAGACAAAACGCTTACTTTTCTAACGAAACAATATAGTTTCATGGAAATTTTTATTTGAATATATTTATCACTTACCTGTATATATCTCTCTCTTTAATTATAATTGTTGGTAATAACACATTGACTTATTGCTTTACTAATCGTTTCATGTAAATTTCTTTGTGTTCTTAAAAATTCTCTTGTAAGATTTATTTGTTGTTTCAACATATTATCCAGTGCAGTTAAACAAGGATTATAAGTTGTTAAGGCTAGTTAAAAAATAATTGAGAGAAATTATAATCGATTCTTTAACAAGGTGTATATATAAATGTTACAAATTAACTGTAATAGTTTTCCAAGTAGAGATAATGTCTAACAGTGGAATCCAGGACGTGCGTTTCATCGTGTTTGGGACTCGTCAGTCGGATGCTATTATATCCTAGAGTTGATATGTACTCCGGGACTCGAACCCAGTACCGTTCACTTGAAACGTTATCGCGTACTAGTTTTCGTTGACAAATTATATTCATCATGTAAAACAATAACTTATTGTTATTATAAATGGCTCTAGTAAGTTTAATCAACCCAATGATTGTCAGAAAATGTCTCTAGTGTTGCTATTCATGGTTCCTCCATTATACACTAAATTTTTTCTGAGTACTGAAATTCGATATATATGTTTCAGATCGCCAATTACACAAACGGCAGAGAATAACAATTTTACAACTATCATAATTTATATCACAGGAAACTTCTTGAAATATGACACTTACTATGTAGTGTTTTGTAATTTATGAGCGATGACGTTATATTTTGCATTTTAAGAGTAGTGTTAACAGTAGAATTAGGAATTTCTTCATATTTTATTATTGGAAGGTTGTGTGGAATATAGTAGTTTTGTGAAAAATCACCTGACCACACTGTTTGAACTTCAGCATCCTTTGTTTGTTGGGTTTCAGATACGTTTTTTGATATTCTGGAAAAAAAACATAAAAAGTCGGTAAACTTAATTATACGCTGTTCACACTATGATTTAATACTTCATGTCAATTTCGTTTATGAACTTTCACACTGGAAAAAATCAGCAACTTAATACTTCTAGTTTTCAGTGGTTCTCCAACTGTTGTTAGTTCGTGGTGAAAATTTACTATCATACTGCACAAACTCGTTGAATAGTAATCCAGTGTTAACGCCTAGTGGGTTGTATAACTGAGAATGTAGAATAAAAATTAGACTAGGGTATAAGTCGGACAGAACTACAACCTCTTCCAGTTGTCATCTTGTGAATTTCATGTTTAGTTCAGAATAATTATTTGTTAAGTTACTCAGTTACACTGCTTTAATTGAATTTCTTGTATTTGAAAAGTTTTACTTTCACGTAATACCCAGACAGTTATGTCTTTTTGTAATGTGATAGTCTCAGATCTTGTTATCAAAACAATGGTCAGATTATCAGTTCAGGCAACTCATGTTTTTACTAGTTAATTTTAATATCATAACACTGAAATTCAAATATTTAAAATCCATTCTTGGAAATCATCATAATCGAATCCTATCATCCTATGCAGCATCTAATTCAGCAAACTCCGAATAGGTGAAATTTTTATTTATGTACTATCGAATATTTTAAACCTTCACCGTCTCATCAACCACATAAATTATTTACTGAATAATATCTGTCATTTTGGGTAGTTGTGTCGTCCAAATGCTGTTTCGTAAATTTAAGATCCTTATTTTTTTTATTGAGCACTGGTTTCAACTGAAAAATGTTACACTTTTATGAAATACAAACGTAAATTATTAGTTTTGGGCAGTATTGTGTAAATTTGATACAACTTTATAAATAATTGATAGTTTGACAAATAGCGTATTTGTACTTACTTTTTATATGAAATCGTTTCACGTAAATTCGTTTTATTCAATGGTCCATAGGAATTCGTAGGTGCTAATTTGTGGTTTGAGAAAACGTTATATAACACATACCATGAACACACATAAGATAGTCATAGATATTATTTTCAAATTCTATCAGGATCTTACTTCATTTAAAAGCATTTATTACATTAGCTGTTGTCTACAATAACATAATGTTAATTTTATATCTGATTACGTGGTTGATGTTCTAACTACCCTGATAAATTGTTAACAGTATATAAACAAACCTACGGGATAAAAAATATGAGGATATTGTGATTGGTAAATGATGAATTAAGCAAACTGGTAGTAAAGTCGTAAATCGGGAGCGCCATCCCTACAATTGAAGAACATATGGAACTTAAAAAAACTGTATGCCAACATCAAAGTTAGAATTTTCAGTACGAACGTCAAAATACTTCTGTTGTGCGGACCAAAGAACATGTTACAACGGGAAGTGCAAGTACACATCAAAGGAGTGAATAACAACCGGAAAGGAGAGCTTAGAATAGAGTAGGTGAGAAAATTCTTGTTGGTAGCTTATGCTGTACAAGGGGTGACAGGCGTAAGTAGGTAATTCAACAAGGACGAATGATACAAATAAAGTTAACATTATGACAGAATATACCATGTTGTACCGAAATATCTACTTAACCCATTCAAAAAGGAAGAGGTTGACAATGTTATAGCCTGAAAAATATTGAAAACACCCAGTGAATATATTAGGCTAGATTCATCAAAATCTCTTTTACAGGAGTAATTATATCCTATGACGATTGGGATACTTTTACTTGATGGTTTTCTATATCATTAATTTTTAATGTACCTCAAGGATAGAACTTAGTTGAGATTGTCCATCAACACTTGTCAACTTCTTAAAATACTTTCTAATCAAGCTATGTTTTTATCATGAAGACGTGTAAAAAATTAAACTAGCAAACATCACACGGCAAACTAAAATGTACTTAAAGCGTACAAAACACTCAGACCGTTAGTTTAAATAAGAATTTCATTGAAATTTTATGGGTGTATAAGTATCCAAGCAGTGAGTCGCTTCACTCATTAGGTTGAAAATTATGTGACTTCCATACTCTGAAAAATAATGTACTTGTAAAAATAGTATATTAAATGTATTTATTGAAATTAAATAACCGAAAACACATTCACTAGAGTTATTCTCCAGCAAAATACACAATATATGTAATTAATCATTCATTATCAACGAACCTGCATTACAAACTTTTTGATTTACTGAACAATCAGCCTTTTTTGTTTTAAGTGATAATGATTTCTGCGTTGTGATTAGATTGCATTTTAAATTTTCTTTAGTTGAACTAGTTAGATCTTGTTCATTTTCAAAATCATCTGAATATTCATCTATTTCACTAGTATTGTTTTCATTGTCCACTTGACAATATATCTTTTCCAATGGAAGTTTTTTATTAGATATCTTCTCCGTCAAGCTAGATGAATGGGAGTTTTCACATTCAATAATTTCTTCAATATCTATCAGTGATTTTTCATCTAAGAAGATAAGTGAGTTTTATTGATAAGAATTTTAAGTCTAAATACCATAACAAAAAACACCTCTAAGCTATTTTATGAGCATATCTTACTTGCATTGTTGCTCTAATGAGGATGTTCTTTTTCTGTCCTTAAATTTGGGAAATTTTAAACGGAATAGTGAGAGGAAATGACATAAAGAGGATATATATATTACAATTTCAAGGAAGATAATAGCAGCTATACGTAATAGCATTTGGCTAATCAATATGTGGTTAAGAATTGAGAAAAGAATAATCAGTTTCAAGTGTCTAGATACACGATCGATCTCCGAAGCTAAAAAAAATAGTGATCTACAGAACAGACATGAATGGGCTTGCCTAGTCTCACTGAGTATTAACAGCTGATTTATCAATTCGATAGTATCTACCGTGTGAATCTTTTAAAAATTTACTTCGATCTCTAAACACTATCATTTAGCAAACGTTGAGTAATGAAAACAGAGCAGTAAACTAAAATGATTTGAAAGTGTAAACCAAATAGTTTGAGTCAATAAAAATAGTGAAGACTTTAGGGTTCTTAATGATTACTTTTATAATCAATATTACTAGTACATATGCGTAAGTATTTCATATTCCTTTATGTGCCAAAATCCTTGCAACTTTTAAATTTTGTCATTTTTCAAATAAAGGGAAAAACGTTTTAGCTTGAAATTGTAAACATTTGAGTCATTCCATTTTGAAACAGTACATGAATAAAATAAGAAATAAATGAACTGAAAGTATGAACGTTCAATTAATTATCAATGAAAAGATGTTTCAAACAAAGCAAATAAATAAATACATTTCAACTACTGAAATCAATTTCAAATTACTTAAAATAGAATTAATAATCACTGATTTCTTATATGTCAAGAACTTCATCAAATTAATTTGTCCTTCTAGTGATAAATGAGATTGATAGCTAGAATTACCATTAACTAGTGTCACTGTTTATCCATAGTACTTTTTGCGAGTGATATTTTATCAGTAATATCATTAAATATTTTGATAAGTAGTATTTAACATCAGTAACAAATCTAGTTGCGAATATATAACTTCCATAAAAACTTACACTTTACTTAATTTATTTTATTATACTTTTTCATGTGTTGATTTTATTTCAGTGAACTTGTAGTTCTCCTCCATTCAATTAGGTTAAATGCTACTCAGTTAGTCATGTTAGATGGTTGGAGGTAGGAACCTTGAACCAAGTTTTCATTCTGTGTGGCACTCATTAGCAAGGTCTACTTCTTTCATAATGAAATTGATACTCCCTACTGGATCCAAATCTGAATCACCCAGCTTCACAGTCTAAGTCGTTATCACTGAACTATTCTGTCTATAATTGACCTCCTGTAGGACTGAAGCATATTTACAATTGATCGGTCACTAAGTAGTTATTAATGCCATATTTGTCTCATCATTTAGTTCTGATTGAAATCTATCTAGTAGGTCGGCTAGTTTGCTTACAACATGTATTCTGTATATATTACTAGTATTTTATATTTAACAATTTCAATGAGATTAAAGTAGTATATTATAACTAGCGATTTAAGTGTACAAGTTTAAATAAGAAATAGTTTTCTCTGACAGGAAACGTTTGCACAATGCATTGGTAATTTAACTTGATTAATGATAAAATTGGTTTAAATGCATGGACTATCATTTTGCTAAGGTCTATTTAAAAGGGTTTCATAAGGATAGTCCAGTAATCAATCCGTAACAGCTAGTTTAAAATGTGACATTACAGATATAGGTTGTTTAATCATTCTCTATCCACTTTACATGAACCATTAGGTCAAGAATCTAATCTACATCACATCTAAGAAACTGTAGCAGTTACACGATAAGGATGTACTGACAGACTACTTCCTTTGAGGATGTAAGTTACAGGTTTACCGCTATTCTTGTCAAATGATATTTGAAGATGACACCGGTGATGTCTCCTCCGAGATACCTGTCTATAAACAGTGTTAAGTATTCATAAATATTGATTGCAATGAAATTATTTCCAGGATATCTCATATATATATACCCAGTAATATTAAAATAATTATTACTTACATCAGTTAAGAAAAGTAACCCTGTTCTGTTCTTCCCAATCTATGACTTTAGTCACTGAGCTTCGATAAATTCTACAGAACTATCATATCTTGACACAATATACATTCTAGAGCATTAGGAAACTTTATTACGAATATCATCGACAAGAGCAATAGGTTTATTTTTTGACTACATATGTAAAGAGATTTATTTAGGAGTCCATTTCTCCTACAAATAATGTAAAGGCAAAAACCACTAAAAAAAACAGTTTCATGAGTATTCGACACCTGATGGAGATCTCGTTAAATTTTAGTGAAATGAATAAGCTAGGTGTCGATGTCCTAATATACCTGGGTTGCTCGAGCAGGCTCAACTTCAGCCAAATAAGCAACTGTATTTTTACCTGTGACTTGCATTCTTAAATAAATATGCTGTTCATTTAAGACCAGTAATGTTTTCTTTATTGTCGATCGATTGGGTACATATAAAATATCAGAATTCAACTTACTGGAAACCTAATATCAGTATTTCTATGTTCTAATAAAGCCCACTTTTCATATGTATCTTACTTTTGATTCAAATAATGTTTTACCATCCAAACTATAAGCAACAAATCAGAAACTCACTGTACGATTTGTCAAAACGATTAGTTGAGCAATAACTTCCGCAATCTACTCTATTCTCATTCACTAATTCATCAACAGATAATATTAATTGATCATCGAATGTACTCATTTTGCTTTCAATTCGTGAAGGTTCTATAGAAATTTAATTTCAGTAAATAAGGAATTATCTTATAAGTTTATAGATTGAATTTTTAAATCAATACATATTTCACAAATTTAAAGTAGGAACCTTAAACTTGTACCTCAGAAGGTATACTAGTTAATAATAGACGTAATAAGCGTCATGGTATTGAATCGTTTATAATAATATCAGGTGAAGAGATATGTCTTAACGTTCAAATGTAAATCCTCAAAACAAGTGAAAACAATTAGACTTATTTTTTAGTTTTATTATTTTCAGCCTACTTTCGATGTTCTTGTTTAATGTCATATTATTTATTCAATATTTTGAAGTGAATTTAACTTTTCATATGGTTTATTTATTAGAATAAGCAATATTCCTCTGTTACAATAACCCACTTATCTTACCAGTTCATACTTCTATTTCAATATTTTGGATCATTCTATTTTTCTCAGTTTATTTCTCCTGTGCACTACACTAAAAATCCATTTACTTTGAACAGATCGTTAATTTACAAAACGTGAGGTCTGAATTATTTTTGTTAATTGCTATTATGTCCACTGTCTACAAATTTATCTGTTGCTTTCTGATTCGTAGTCTTTATTATAATTTTGTTTTATTCACTCATATAAAATACCCACCTTTTCTTTCCATTGTGCGTCTAACTCCCTATATCCTAACTGTTATGTCCCGATAATCACAATGAATGGTAATTTTGGGGATCCATTTATGGACCAATACTATAAGTATATTTTTATCGTATAATTGTTATGTAACTAAACGTTTCATATCCGTGTCCCTCATATTATGAGCTTTATTTTGACCTATGAACTATTACTATAAGATTTACCATTCTTAAATCATGCCCTGTCTATTAATTACTACCTCCCTTATTCACAGCCAACTCCGCCTGTAGCTCTAACAGGGTTACTGCCGGTCCCAAGCCCGGATAAAGGAGGAGGGTTGGGCATGGGGTTAGCGTCCCCATCCCGTAGAAAACTAACTCGCTAAAAAAACGCTTACCAGAAAAAATAATCCAAACCATTTAAACTCTGCCCTGGGAGTTAGAAGGTCTTCAGTTAGAAGAATTATGACGCTTCATGGTGAAAGCCGAGTTCCTTCGGAAGCCACGAGGCCGATGCCCCTTCTAACAACCAGAGCAAAAATTTTTATAGGTACATGGAACGTTCGAACAATGTGGGAAACCGGGAAGACCAGTCAAATAGCAATGGAAATGAGGAGATACAACTTAGCAGTACTGGGAATCAGCGAAACCCACTGGACCCAAGCTGGACAGAAAAGGCTAGCTACGGGAGAGATGCTGCTATACTCCGGTCACGAGAGGAAAATGCTCCACACACTCAGGGAGTCGCTCTTATGCTGTCCAAAGTAGCACGAAATGCACTTGTAGGATGGGAGTCTCACGGATCCAGAATCATCAAAGCATCATTCAAAACAAAGAAGGAGGGGATCTTAATGAATATTATCCAATGTTATGCACCCACCAATGATAGCAACGACGACATTAAAGATCAGTTCTACGAGCGGCTGCAGTCAATCATTGAGAAATGCCAAGAAAGGACCTAACTATTCTGATGGGAGATCTAAATGCCAAAGTCGGAATAGACAACACTGGATATGAAGATATTATGGGACGACATGGACTGGGAGAAAGAAACGAAAATGGAGAAAGATTTGCAAATCTATGTGCATTCAACAAATTGGTCATAGGAGGCACAATATTTCCACACAAGCGTATACACAAGGCTACATGGATCTCACCGGACCACACTACAGAGAACCAAATAGATCATATTTGCATCAACAAAAAATTCCGAAGGACAATGGAAGATGTGAGAACCAGGAGAGGTGCTGACGTAGCTTCAGATCACCACCTAGTTGTAGCCAATTTAAAACTGAAGCTAAAAAAGAACTGGACAAGTGGACAAACAGCACTACAAAGGTTCAATACAGCCTTCCTTCGAGATACTGACAAACTCAATGAATTCAAGATAGCTCTCAACAACAGGTTCCAAGCCTTACAAGATCTACTGAAGAAGAAGAAACTACTATGGAGGACAACTGGAAAGGCATCAAGGAAGCATTAACTTCAACGTGTCAAGAGGTTCTGGGCCTAAAGAAACACCATCATAAGGAATGGATCTCTATAGAAACACTGGACAAGATCAAAGAAAGGAAGAACAAGAAGGCAGCAATTAACAACAGCCGAACACGAGCAGAGAAAGTCCAAGCACAAGCTGAATACATAGAAGCAAACAAACAAGTGAAGAGGAGCATTAGAGCCGACAAGAAGAAATACGTGGAAGAACTAGCAACGACGGCAGAAAAAGCTGCTAGAGAAGGAAATATGAAACAGCTTCACGATACAACGAAGAAACTAGCAGGGAAATACAGTAAACCAGAGAGGCCGGTCAAAGACAAAGAAGGCAAGCCAATCACCGAAATTCAACAACAGCGTAACAGATGGGTAGAATACTTCGAGGAACTCCTGAATAGGCCGGCTCCAATGAATCCACCGGACATCGAAGCAGCACACATAGATCTTCCTATAGATGTCAACCCACCAACGACGGAAGAAATTAGAATGGCCGTCAGACAAATCAAGAACGGGAAAGCAGCAGGACCCGACAACATACCAGCTGAAGCACTGAAATCAGACATCGAAGCAACCACAAGCATGCTATACCTTCTATTCAAAAAGATTTGGGAGGAGGAACAAGTGCCAATGGACTGGAAAGAAGGACACCTCGTCAAGATTCCAAAGAAAGGAGATCTGAGCAAATGTGAAAACTACAGAGGCATTACACTACTGTCAATACCAGGGAAAGTCTTCAACAGAGTGTTGCTGAACCGGATGAAGGATGCAGTAGACGCCCAACTTCGAGATCAACAAGCTGGATTCCGTAAGGATCGGTCGTGCACAGACCAAATTGCAACACTACGGATCATCGTCGAACAATCAGTTGAGTGGAACTCATCACTATACATCAACTTCATTGATTATGAAAAGGCATTCGACAGTGTAGATAGGAGGACATTATGGAAACTTCTTCGACACTACGGAGTTCCTGAGAAGATTGTCAACATTATCCGGAACTCATACGACGGACTACAGTGCAAAGTAGTGCATGGAGGACAGCTGACAGATGCATTCCAAGTAAGGACTGGAGTCAGACAAGGCTGTTTACTCTCTCCCTTCCTCTTTCTTCTGGTGGTCGACTGGATTATGAAGACCTCAACATCTGAAGGAAAACACGGAATACAATGGACAGCTCAGAATCAATTAGACGATTTGGACTTCGCAGACGACCTAGCCCTCCTATCACGTACACACGAACAGATGAAGACAGCCAGTGTAGCAGCAGTCTCTGCATCAGTAGGCCTCAGCATACACAAAGGGAAAACCAAGGTCCTCAAATTCAAGCGGAGAACAGCAATCCAATCACTCTTGATGGCGAAACTCTGGAAGATGTAGAGTCCTTCACATACCTGGGAAGCATCATCGATGAACAAGGAGGTTCAGATGCAGACGTAAAGGCGAGGATCGGCAAAGCAAGGGTCGCATTCCTACAATTGAAGAACATATGGAACTCAAAACAACTTTCAACCAATATCAAAGTGAGAATCTTCAATACGAACGTCAAGGCAGTTCTACTGTATGGAGCTGAAACTTGGAGAACTACAACAACCACAATCAAGAAAGTACAAGTATTTATAAATAGCTGTCTACGCAAGATACTCAACATCCATTGGCCGGATACCATCAGCAATAGCCTTCTGTGGGAGAGAACAAACCAACTTCCAGCTGAAGAAGAAATTAGGAAAAGACGATGGAAATGGATAGGACATACATTACGCAAATCGTCAAACTGCATCACGAGGCAAGCCCTAACTTGGAATCCTGAAGGGAAGCGAAAAAGAGGAAGGCCAAAGAACACATTGCGTCGGATATAGAAGCAGATATGAAAAGGATGAATTACAACTGGACGGAGCTGGAAAGGATTGCCCAGGACAGGGTTGGATGGAGAATGCTGGTGAGTGGCCTATGCTCCTTCACGAGGAGTAACAGGCGTAAGTAAGTAAGTAAGTTATTCACAGCCACATTTGGCTAATTCTTGTACAAATGTTGTTTCATATTTTATGTCACGGTGTGGTCCGTCTGGTTGGTATACAAACCGAGTATGTTTGAAATAAATGATTCATATCGCAGAGGCTGAGATTGGTGTTCTGAACTTAACTGGCTGGGCTAGGCAGAAAGCAAGACCAACCTGGATTCTAGACTACTCGCACGGGTTTTAGGAGTCATTAGTCCGATCGATAATTCACTGCTCTCTAGTTGGCAGTACCATTACGTTATACACTAACAGGGCACGCAAGTCACAAGTTATAACACTAACCATTTTCTGTTCACAAATACTTTCAACGTTTATTTTTGTTACTTATTAATTTATATAGTATATAGCACCTGATATAACGGATGAATTAAAACATCTTTCTCTCTCTCTCTCTGTAGTATGCTAAGCTAATACAATAATATGATAATAAAACCGATATATGTGACTGAGCTTATAATACAGTTAGACTGAATACTCAAAAGATCCGCTACACACAGACCATATCACGTTATATTAGACGCCTGATTCATGACCAAGAAGAAGGAACCAGAGTAACTCTAGACTACACTTTATCCCACGCAATTACAAGCAGTCACTCACAGTGTGTCCGGAGTAGAAATCAATTAGAGGAAATGAAATCATATATGTAATGATCAGTAAGTCGGGTTCCTATCTGTCCACAATCAGTGACCAATCATACTTACTTTCGCTACCACGAATCACCACAGTACATTTGAACAAATCAAAAGTTATCTATTAAACTAAGTTGTATAGTTAAAATTCGCCCACGCATTCTACTGTCATACTGTTATTTCATTAAACTAGATAATTTAAATTTGGAATATAGGTACACAAATACAACATACTGGTCGCTAACTAGTGATAGACTAATTGATTTTACGATCAAGATTTCAAAAACATATTGTAACACTTCTGGGTTTTCATTTAACACACAAAGGACTCCTACATAGTACAATTGATATCTGAAAAGTTGACTAATATCTTGTCTACATCACAGATTTCAGAGGTTGATAAAACTTCATTTATAGTTTTTCGTCTATTCTGAGGTTTCATTAGCCACTCAACCAACAAAATTGACATTACATAAAGACAAGGATTCAGCACTGGAAACTATTCACTACCCTGTGGTTAACTTCAGCGATCCCCCACATTAATTTCGAGTTAATACTTCGTATTTACTTAAACGTTTCCTAAGAATTTTTGAATTAAAAGACTAGTATTTGAACGAAGAATATCCTTTTCCATTAAAATTTTTGAATTCCCTTACAGGGGATTTAAAAGCTTTCACAATTTTTCAGCATCTGACAGGATGTAGACAAACGTTGTAATTTTTTCCTAGGTATTATTTAATCAATATGAGCGGGAAGCTATTTCGGCTTAATAAGAATAACTTCTAAGCTAAGTAACAAATATTTCTTATTCCTTTTCCATATATATATATAAACTTACCTCTACTTGCATCAGTCAGTGAATTTTTATCATTAAAGGACAAAGCTGAAATTCTACTTAAATCATTCTCATTATTTTTTCGTACTTCTAATGGTTCACTCACAACATTATTATTGATACAATATTTTTCAAATTCCCTTGATTTTGTCCCATTTGAATTTGTCAACTTTTAAATTAAATAAAAATTAATTCATTAGTTTGCTTTAATTATTAAAAAGGTAGATAGTTTTAAAAAAATAAGTGATATAAAATACATGTAAATCAAGCTGTTTTCTGCTATAAAATTAAATTACACAATAAAATCTATACAAATTCCTTCAAGATAATAAATAAATAAACAAAAACGTTGAATTTACCATGTTTTGCTGAAGTAATTTATGCCAGAAGGGGTTTTGTGGAGATTGTAGTAGTTTCAATAGTTGAGATCATGAGTCAATTGAAGCTAGACCACCATGGAAAACTTGGAAATACTGGACGGCCGTTTCGCCTATTTTAGGACTCAGCAGTGCGCATCCACGACCTCGTCTCGTAGGATTCGAACCCAACAAGATTCAGTTGCCAATCTTGTTCTATTGTTGTGAAGTCTTTTACAAATGTTTATTATGCAACTTTTCACAACACTTCTTATTTAAGCTGTACTCAGTTATATAATTTTACTTTACTTTGCACAATGACAATGTTAATGTCTCGTTTTTAATGTCTATTCGAGAATAACGATATATTCAACTTATAAGTATTCATATTATTCAATAGATATGAACATCTCTTATAATTCATTCATACTTATTTCTCTCTCAGTCAGTCAGTCAGCTACAACGTAGGACCAGGCACATGTATGCATCGGTCATACCTCATTAGCACAGCGAGATGAACACGGGATTCATAGAAGTAGTTAAGTCAATGGTGGTAATATATAAAAGAAGGATTGTATATAAGGATATAGTACAGGAAGAAAGATTTAGTACGTAGAAAGAAAGATATGAAGTGATTTTAATCTCTTAGTTTAAGGAAAGACAGGGAGTGTATACACCGACGCCATTGTGATCGATTCTGAGCCATGTCACCAAGAGTCTTCAACCATCGGTTACGAAAGTCACGCGGACCCCAACCAAGTAGTCTGCATCTACCAACATGGCTCAGACCAGAAGTTAGTGAATTCGAGCACTGATGCCACGTTTTGGTTTGGCCGCCCCTAACTTTCTCCCAACAATCTCCAATACCGGATAGCATTACACGTCGTCGTAATCGGTATTCAGGCATACGCAACACGTGGCCCAACCATCTCAGTCGATGAGCATTCACAACCTCATCGACTGATTTACCATCTTTCCCTAATACCCTGCGTCTAACCTCACTATTACTTACCCGGTGATCCCAACAGACGCAAGCAATATTTCTAAGGCATCTGTGGTCAAATACTAGCAACTTACGGGTATCTTCTACTCTTAATGGCCACGTTTCGCAGCCGTAAAGTAGAACAGAACGAACTGCCGCGCAGTATACTCGTCCTTTTCATTGATAGACGGATATCTCGCCTTCGCCACAGGTGACGTAAGTTGGCAAAAGCCAAGCGAGCTTTTCGAATCCGTGCTGAGATTTCGTCAGACACCAATCCATTAGGGCTGATCAGACTACCAAGATAAGTGAAGTTGTCAACGCGCTCCACTACTTCACTCCCTATCCTTAGTTCAGGTGTTAACGCAGACCAGTCCTGAAGCAACAACTTGCATTTAGAGGGAGAGAAGCGCATTCCAAACATTCTGGCATTGTTGCGCAGTGCTACCAGAAGACTCTGTATTTTGTCAGTGTCTTCACCAAACAGGACTATGTCATCTGCGTATTCTAAGTCGATAAGTGGACCTCCTGGATGGAGATCAATGCCCGAAAATTCAGTAGATGAGAATGTTATTTCCATCAATAGGTCCATGATGAAGTTAAACAAAAATGGAGAAAGTGGACAGCCTTGACGGACACCACTTGAGGTTGCAAAAGTAGATGACAGTTCGCCATAAGCTCTGACTCGACTAGTAGTGTTCGAGTAATGAGCCTTCACAAGGTTTATGTACTTCTGAGGTACGCTTTTCAGTGACAGATACTGCCACAGAATCTCGCGGTCTACGGAGTCAAATGCTGCCTTTAAGTCAACAAAGACCACCATTGTCGGACGCCGATAAGTACGCCTGTGTTCTTTCTCTTTACATTATTCTTTACTGATGTAAGCATTTTCAATGCTATGTTATAAATTATGTAAGCTGATTTTTGATGATCAATACTATCATGTTTAATCTTCAATACGAACGTTAAGATAGTTCTATTGTATGGAGCTGAAACATAGAGAACTACCACAACTATTATTAAAAAGGTACAATTATTTATAAACAATTGTCTACGCAAGATACTCAATGTCCATTGACCGGATACTATCAGCAATGGCCTACTATGGGAGAGGATAAACGAACTTCCAGCTGAAGAGGAAATTATGAAAAGATGCTGTAGGTGGATACGACACATTAAGAAATTCATCAAATTGCATCATGGGGCAAACGCTAATTTGGAATCTTGAAGGGAAACAGAAAATAGGAAGGCTAAAGAACACACTGTGTTGAGAATTGGAAGAAGACATGAAGAGGAAACAACTGTAAAGTACTACCCAGGGCAGAGTTGAGTGGAGAGTGCTGGTGAGCGGCTTATGCGCCACGACGATGGATAACAGGCGTACGTGTAATCAAGTACTATTATGTTTAGGTTGTAAGCAACTGATGAGAAACTCCGAAATATAATTCATGTTATTTTATTTTGTTAATTATTCTTGATTAGGTGAAATGTGTTTTCAGTAAACACAAATATGAACTTACTCTGCTATTAAATACCTTTTGTGTTGAATATTTATTAAAATCTATTGACGTTTTTCCTGCACTAAACGGTGTCAGTAAATCTTCAGTATTTTCATCTTCAGTTGTAGCTGGAGATTGTTTTTGAACTAATATAACACAAACACCAAAGTATTAAAAACTGAATTAACGTTCATCACGGTAAAACGGTTATCAGAAATGAAACAACTAAGCTGTCATCTATGGAACTTAATATAAATCATAATGGAAAGTCTGAAATAAAAAATAACCAGGACATCATTAATGAAATCCTGTATGGAAGAGAAACAGTCGTTATAAAGTTTACAAATCACTGACATTATAAAGTGGTTATTAGATGATTCCCGTTAAATTACGACTATCCAGAGGACATTGTCTACGCAAGACGAACCTCAGTATCTTTAGTTTAAAATGTGCAAGCCACTAAAATAACCTTCAAGCCTATAAACAAGGTGTTTTTATCTAGTCATGATAATTTACGTCTTTTTAAACATTATGTCAATTTGTAGGTGTCATTACCAAGGTTTGACTGCGTAATAATAAATTGAGCACTAGGTAGATTGATATAAATAAATAAATAATATATTTGCAATATCCCAATCAGTAGAAAAATTAGATTTTCTGACGTTTCGTGACTTAGTGTGAGCTACTTCTTCAGACAATAAATAAATAACTGAATCAAAATTAACCCGAATTTAAGGCTTGACTTGTTTATTTATTTATTGTCTGAAGAAGTGGCTCACACTAAGTCACGAAACGTCAGAAAATCTAATTTTTCTACTCATTGGAATATTACAAGTATATTATTTATTTATTATGTCAATTTGATTATTTCTTTAGTACCTGTTATTCAAATACTAACACCACCATAGTTTGTATTTTTTTTAATACAGTTCCATATTTCAGTGTAATAAATTGATGAATGATTTCAGGACAAAGTTTTATGGTCAAGCTTTTGTTGTATATTTCGAAAATCGTTTGCATCTTAAACTTAGATCTAATAACTGTGTAGTGACCTACTTTTATCAAGAGAACGCGATTGATTTAACGGAAACAGTCATTATTATAACGAAGTGTACCAGTGATTGTTTTACTGTGCTCGTTTGTTTAACTGTGCTAAAGACAGCTATATTGCTCTACCATTATTCTCCATTATTGTTTCGCGGTTAGTGACTCCGCTCGCACGTACTCCCTTCTGCTGCTTCTGCTTGTACCATTTCTTGGCACGGTTTTGGTATTCTTTCGATACCACGAGATCGCCAATCAAATAAACTTGGTTCTATTGCGCCTTATGATTTTATTGGCACGTATTTCTCAGTAGCAGTGTTCATAGTCAACTGGGACTCGACACCACGCGACAACTGTAAGGCGTATCGTCCAATGTGGCAACTAGAAAAAACTAAATTTCAAACCTTACTTAAGTCTCATCATAGAACCTAAATATTTAAACCACTAAGTGTTAGCCGGTTAATGATTGAGAAATGAAACATATAAATATAAAAATCACACAATATAAAATGACAAAAGATATAAGTACTTAGAATGGAAAATAAAAATAAAAAGCAGTCAATAATTTTTGGTACTGAATAACAGTCGTGCTATATCACAATAAGAAATGGATTGGGAAATAAGAACCAAGAGATTTGAAATCGTTTTTTTAGTAGTATCGAACTTCTCGTGGGCATAAAATCCCGAAATTTGATTTCGTAGCCGATTGTGGTTTTAAACTGTTGAGCGAATTCAAATCATTAAAAGCAGCTGTAAGGTGATCCTCTATTTTGACAGTTCATTAGCTGTCACCAGGCAATATGGCAAATTTGGAAAAGTGAGAGTAGCTGTATACATAATACTACAAAGTATTGTTGCACTCCAAATGCTACGTCTCTTAATATTACCAAAAGAATTATAAACGACGTTCAGTATATGACTGCTACCAGTTTTGTTACTTCTTGACACGCTAATCGACATCGTGTGCTATATTCCCCTACCAGAATTTTGACTGTCATTTCATTTCCGCACGCTTGCTGTTTTTCTCTGTAACCTAGCGTTCTAGACGTAAAAAACCATGCTCCTCAACTGGTACAACTAACCTTGGGCAGCGATAATCCACACTCCTATTGATCTACAGGTCTCTATTGTTCATTAGCCATGAGTCCGAAAAGATTTCTGGAGCCAAGCTTCTATTATTATCACGTATCCCGATTGTAGCTGCTAACTCGAAGTGGTGGTCGAGAGTGCCTATTGCGATGACACGACCGAGTTATATTGGCCGGAACATGTTTCGTTAGATCCTAAAATGCCTGACAGGTCGGTTGGAGAGCGGTAAGACCAAAAGCAGCAACCTGATGTTCTACGATGAAGTCATACTGCTGACTGTAGAGGGGTGTGACAGCATTGAGGTGTTTCCATCGAACAGCCAGCATCTGCAGCTCTTCTACTATCTCAAACAGGAAGGGAGGGGTTAAAAAGTTTGACTCCGAAATTGTCTCACCTTACCACACAGACTTCCGTCTCCAGCAGTAAGGTCTTTTAAAGTGCAGAGCTAGCACATCATAATCTTACCATAAAAAGGCCGTGCGTGACCGACCTTAAGCAGTTGTCCCTTGAGCTTTAGGGTCACGGTTCCCGAACGCTAAAACCACTAATTCAGCTGCTTTTTAAGTCCCCTTAAGAAGAAATATCCTTCCACGGTGTGGGCACCAGGGAAGTGTCAACAGCCTTTAGACCTCTATCAACACCTGAGATAATCTTGTTGGCTATCAAATCCCTCCCTCACCTCTTAATAATTCTTCCACCCCCCCAACTAACCCTTCTTGTATATTTTTATCTCCACGAGCCGCTAATGCTAGTGATCTGAGTTTTCGAAATGTTATTTCTGGTCTCCTCAATCCGCATTACAAACTTCATGTTCGAACTTCGTGTCAGGTAGGAAATCAAACTTCTTTAGCTAAGTGTCGAATCTCCAGCCATTGGTATATGCTGCGTCTCCAAAACGCGCATACGCAGTCAAAGTACGGTAATTCATTCGACCTCGCCTTATCAACATAAGGAACCGGCAAGATTTTACCCTTCGAGTATCTGGAGAACTCTCTACCACTTACCTTAGTCCCGCTCGTGTAGGTATAGCATTAAGTTCAAAAGCAGAACAAGCTCTATTAGACTGGATTCCAACAGACTTTCGCTTGTGTGTTGTCGGACAAAACGCGATAGTAAAAAGTCGAAAAGACAGAGTCACACTCGGTTACCTTCTCGTTGTCTTTGCCTACGCTCCAAATGACTGCAGCGTAGATAACTTTCCGTAGTGTTACTCCTCACTCATTTTGTAAGGAGCTTCTTAGTTCAAAACGTGCAACCACCCTGGCTCAAGTACTAACTGGAAGCAATCACTTCTCATTCAGTAAGATCTAATTGTTATCTAACCTCGAAACTCCTTATATCATAAAATTATCAAGTCTCTAAAATGAAACATTTGACACAACTATAGGAAACTTCGGAAAACCACAGGACTCATTTACCTACCAACATTTTTATTGATTCGTTTCTCTGGATTTCTTAAAAACCGTCTCCCACCTTCAGAACTTTCACTTGATATTTCATCGATCATGTATCCAGATATTTGCTCACTCAATCGAATTGTTGTCTGATTCTTGTTTTTCATTGGTAACAAACTTTGTTGTAAATCAAAGCAAACAAACGTTGTTTTATTAGTAAAAGTGGGTAATAATATCCCGATATTTAGTATTTTTAGCACAAATTGGCTCGAGTTGAAAATATTTACTACCGAATCGGGACCTGATAATTTAGTGTTTTCGCGAAACATGAAAGTACTGGCCTGCACCGTATGTGAAGTGATACACCTATACTGATAAAGTCACTAAATGGCCCCCTGATGCTCTCAGAATTTCAGTGCCTCTCAAGCTGATATTACCGTGATAAAATTTAACTAAAAATTATATGACTATTCACGAAATAATATTACTATTCGACCTTAGCTGTCCATATTAATATTGAATCATTTTCGCCATAAGAAATCCACCCCTGATCTGGATGATCCAGTAAAACTCCGATGAAAAATTTCTAAACAGCTAGTGAAACCGACTCAAAATAATCCTCCATAACTCTGAATTACTTTGTCAACAAGAAGATACTTATCTTTAACCATAATAGATCAAAGTAGCCTAATATTCGATAAATTTATTGAATCTCACTCCGTTTTATTGAAATGTTTTGTCTATAGAACGTTACGCTAGTAGTCTTCATCAATGATGTAGCCCATTGGTAAACAGTTGGAATTTATAGGGCACTTAACATTTATATCATTCTGGTTCGAAACTTGACCGGAAAACTTACAATTTCTCACAAAACGAAATCCTCCACAGCTGTGCTCCGAAAATCCATATGTGGTGAGACTTCTGTGTCAATATTTGACTCCAGTTTAAGATTCATGTGTAGCACAATCAAATTCGTAATTAATCCATGTAGTCAGTAATCGCTAGACCGAGACAAGGTACCAGAAAATTGGAAGTTGGCTCGCATTACACTAATTCTCAAAGGAGGTCGACACAACATACCGTGAAGCTACCGGCCGGTAGCACATCTCTCAATACCTACAAAAATTATGTAGTCCCTGATATTCGATGGTCCATGTGACTGCCTCCTATCCATAGACGTTTTTCCACCCTAACAGCACAGTTTCAGAAAGCATCACTCTTGTGTAACTAACCTGCTGATCGCCGTGGACAACCAAGAGGATGAACCGGCACTTCAGGAGAATCTGACTCGACTTCAAAGTTGGGTGGGCAATAACGGGCTTACCTTTGGCACTTCAAAGTGTAAAGTAGTTCATATGAGACACGTTGAAGACTACGAATACAACTTAGGTAACTTCCTTCTAGAGGATTCACAAGTTAAAAAAGAACTGGAGGTGTTGGCACCTTATGATCTGAAATCTTACGTTAATTGTGACAATAATACCTTTCGAGCAAACCTTTTACTGCTAACGTTGTAACGTATTTTAAGGCAGTTCGGTGGAAAAACGTTCCACCTAATCTTCAACTGTTTGATTCGACCTCACTTGGAGTCTGAAAGTACAGTGTTCTCTCCTTCAACCCAAAGAGACAACAATACATCGGAATGTATCTAAAGGCGAGTCACGAAATTAGTCCGAGGACTCAAGTTCAAACCTTTTGAAGGACTTCTCAAATCACTGAAACTTTACCCATTAGGATATGGGCGTCTCAGAAGTGACTTAATGACACGACATCCTGAACACTACCGGTCATCCTCTTATATACCTACTTAGGCTCAGTCCTAGAAAAACCTTAGGGATAACACCTAGAAATTAAAGAGACACAATATAGCAGAACAGACTGTAGGCACACCTTTTATTCTTTACGAGTAGTCAAATTCTGTAATTCTCTGCCAGCTGAAGTGGTTTAAACAGCTTTTCATGAGTCTTTTGAGGGGAAACTCGACACATTCTTGAGGACTAAGGACAGTATCTTACCATGATACGATGATACGTTTCTATTTATCGTCAAATGTACTCAAGTTCCTACCTGGAAGCATCGGTGATCCACTGCTGTTAGGTATGGAAATCCGTTAAACGAGAGCTTCTATCTCGTCCGAGCATCAATTAAAAATGTGGAGTTTTCGCAAAATATACTAGTAATAAATTTAATTCAGTGCACTGAAAGGGCTACTAAGTGTCCTTGGCCTGTTGTTTTCAAAGTAATGATCTACAGTCTACCAGGACATTGGATATCAATTTAAATAAGCAGACTACGCAATGAAAATTTCTGAAATAAAATATAAGGAATCACACATAAATTTCAATACTTATGTAAATCCTGTTCAGCCAGTTCAGAACTTATGGTTAGATGTCAAGATGACATTTTTATTACTTTATTACATACCTTGGATTAATAATTAATCTGTCTCTCTGGTTATTTCAAATAAGAATAAGGGTTTATTAGACTAATGATTGCAACCGGTCATAAATTTGCCTTCAGAGACTCATCTGTTGTACAGTATTTACAACAATATAACAATCAACAGCACAGTAGTTACTTAAAACATCAGAACATTATTACCCATTAAAGCATTGAATTGAGAACAACAAAGCTCTTAATACGGCAATCACTAGAAGAAATGTTCCTAAGTGCGAAAAATTTTATTGGACAACGAACACCAATAATCGGTCCATCGTCAAATTCTTTCTCGTCAAGTTCACGCAATTTCCGTCTCGCTTCAAAACAACCTGGAACATGAACTAGATTCTTCCAAAGTTGGCGTTCATGTGATCACCAGAACCACTGTCACTGTGGTTCACTTCACTGAGGAAACACCTCGGACTATATGAAACCACCTTTTTCATATCCAAAATCTTACAATCCGTTCCCTGTATTCCATAAATCATTGCCTTGATTTCCATGAATACTTGTTTCATGGAAGCATTTCCCCCCCCCAAGGATATGAAAACAACAAAATTTATTGGGATTACTGCCATAATACATACAAGTGTTCTCACAACTGCGGATAAAAATGCCTTTTTCCACCATATCTGTTACTTGAGGAGACTTCTTCACTGTTATCCTCCAGACGTTATCTATCCAGAGATAGTAAAAAGCTACTGTACATCACCACCGATATGATGACGACTGTATGGTATCTCTTCGATACTGGTACAGATCTTCGAGTACTTCCGATAATTTTGGTGAATTGTCAAAAATAAACACGTGCGCACCTTATGCAAAGGGTAATCCGTTACGGACGCAAAACCTCATGTTACGGTTGTTAGTCTTGATTTCCTTTTCCCTTTAGTCACACACCAGCGATATTACTATTTGTTGACATGTGTACTCACTTTTAAATATGAGTAAATTATGTATGTATTTTGAGCTGCAAACTTTTTTCTTGTTATATCTCGCACTTCTACATACTGTGCTCTTGAAGACTTTCCGCCAAAGCACACTATAATGTCACGGTTTGCACAAATCATTACAATGTAACGTTTCTCATGAGTTTGAGTTTAGGAAACAATTAGTACTCTAGATGAAATTTGTTAATGATGCGTCTCTAAGAGTATTGGTTCTCAACCGTATGATCCTAGAAGCTAAACATGTGATAACTGAGATTTACATTCAAAATTTAACACTCATAAAAGGTCAGAAATGGTGAACGCGGCAACGCTTAATCCATAAGGCATGGCTTGTCCATATAGGCTTGGTCACTCCGTGTAACGTCTTCTTATTTCAAGTTTAGATGCTTTCCTAAGCCCGAAAATGTTCTTCGGAAGTCAAAAATAGCATATTTATAAATGTTACGATAGGATGAGCCATTATAGATAGGAATGTGACTGCCAGTCCCAAGCCCGGGTAGGAGAGGAGGGTTTGGCATGGGGTGGACAACCACAACCCGCAGGAAAAAATCATGCGAAAAAACGCCAAAAACATTAAACAAACTAAACAGTTTAACTTCTACCCTGGGAGTCGAAAGAAGAATCATGACGCCTAACGATGACAGTCGAGACTCTTCGGAAGTCACGATGTCGATGTCCCTTCTAACAGCCGGAACAACAATTAATATAGGCACACAGAACATCAGGACAATATAAGAGACAAGGAGGACCAGTAAAAAAGGGGCGGAAATGAGGATTCACAACTTGAAGGTGTTCAGAATAAGTAAAGTTAATTAGACCAAAGCTGGACAACAGAGGCTAGACACGGAAGAAATGCTGCTGTACTTTTGTCACGACGAGGAAAATGCTCCACACGCTAAGCAGAAGAACCTGACGATTTACCAGCTGAGGCACTAAGGCCAGACGTAGAAGCAACTGCAAGCACTCTCCACGTTTTTTTCAGGAAGATTTGAGAGGAAGAACAAGTTCTGATGAACTGGAAAGGACACCTAATCACGATACCAAAGAAAAGAGATCTGAGCAAATGTGGGAGCTACAGAGGCACCACACTACTGTCAGTACCACGAAAGGTTTTCGACAAAGTGTTGCTGAACCAGATGAAAGACGCAGTAGACGCCTAACTTCGAGAACAATAGGCTGGATTCCGCAAGTATCGGTCGTGTCTAGTCCAAGTTGCTACAATACGGATCATCGTCGAACAATCAGTTGAATGGAACTCGTCACTACACATCAACTTCCCCGACCATAAGAAGGCGTTTGACAGTGCAGATAGGAAAACCTTGTGAAACATTCCCCGACACTGAGAAAATCGTCAACATCATATGGAATTCATACGACGGACTACAGTGAAACGTCGTGCATGCAGGACAGCTGACAGATGCATTCCGAGTAGGAATCGGAGACAAGCGAGGCTGCTTAGTCTCCATCTTCTTTCTCCTGATGGTCGACTGGACTATAAAAACCTCGACATCTTAGGGGAAGCACGGAATAAAATGGACATATCGGAATCAATTAAAGATTTTAACTTCGCAGATGATCTGGCCTTTCTATCCCATGCACACAAACAAATGCAGATAAAGACAAATATTTTTGCATCAGCCTCTGCGTCAGTAGGCCTCAACGTACACAGTGGAAAAACGGAGACTTTCAAATACAACACAAAGAAGACCAGCCCAATCTCACTTGATAGAGATCTGGAAGATGTATTTCGCGCTCGTTCAATTTTCCAATATTCCGTGATCCACCGTACTACTTACAATTAGTTCGTCTTGTCGGGCGTCTTGTCCATCCTCAGCGACATTTCAGTAGCTCCGAGTTGCTTTCTTGTTCATGATCATCCCTCAATAGCCTGAAACAACTCGTTTACGAGTCGTCCTGTCCATATTTATTTACGACAAGTGCGTATAAATGCCGCGATAAGACTACTCTGCGTATGTAATGTTTTATTGTGCGTTCCTCAATATCTCACTGTCAAATATGGTCAGTCGAAGACAACCATGTTGCGAATCAAAGAGGCATAATGTGTCCAATAGTTCCACCAAGAGGACCTAGTGATAGCAATTTTAGGTTTCAGAGAAGTGAAGATACATTTTTTCAAATACTCCTTCTACAATCCATTGATTAATAAATCGACTATGTGAAGGATTGATATTGTTATTTGCAACAAACTCAACAATAAAATCGTGAAACTAAGTAAAAAATGAGAGTTCTGACATATTACAACAAGATTTCACAAATTCAAATAGATCTGTAGCGTGGCGTCGAGTCAAGATTGACTATGAACACCGCTACCAAAAAAACACGTGCCAAGTAAATCAGAAGGCGAAGGTTGAACGTAACCAAATAAATTCATAAAATCCCCGAGAAGCCAAATATCAGAAGGCAGTTAATGGACCAAGTCGAGATATATTTGCTGACGATCTCGTGGTATCGAAATTATACCGAGATCGTGCCAGGATACAAGCTTGGTTACAGAACGTAACCGACTTCGCGCGAAGTCACAATCAAAGTGTAAGAATAAGAATGGAAGCACAATATAGCTGTCACTAGCACGGTCAAACAAAAGCACATTAAAACAAACAATGGTACAGTTGATTATAATGTAGGATCCAAACCACGTTTGGATTGCTGGACAGCTGCCTGGATAAGTTGGATACGCGCCCTCGCCTGTTTGAAACCAAAACAAGGTAATTGGGTAAGATAGCGGTTCTATAATTTATCACAAGTTTAAGTATACATTATTACCTAAACGAATATAACCACACAGCTATCCAACCAATAATTGTTTAATTGATCAAATCTAAACAATCACCACAAATAAATGTTATTCTATCCTGTCTGGATAGATCACGTACAGATTCGTTCAAAAGGTAACAATTGGTCGCTCTATAACACAGAGTGTTTTCAATTCTGGAAGAGTGCTTCAATTCACAACCAAAATGCACAATTCCAGTCAACACAGGTCAAGCAATCAAAGCAGGAACCAACCAAAATGGCTGCCGCTCAGACTTAGTATAAAGTAAAACAACATAAGTGCAGTTCGGGAAGAAACATGGGGAATTAGTGAAGGTTTGGTAAAAACAAAAACTATAATAAAATACAAAGATTAACAATTCAAATGTAGTCCAAAAGTTAACAATGTACAACTAAGAAGATCAATAGGAACAAAGTGCAAGTATATACATGGAGGGATTTTCACAAACACACAAGGCATTCAAAATGGATCTTACACCGGCCCCCAAAATCCCTCCATATCACACAAGCTACCTTGATGCCTACGGTCATGGTTCATTATATAACATATCACACCATAGGAACGAGTAGGACTTACAACAGTACGCCTACTCGACCTAACTACATCAATAACAACAAAGACTAATCCAAAGCTTCAAGGAGACCTGCTTCACCTGTTCTCTTGTGATCAACAATAACAGTCTTGGTATAGACCTAATCACTCTTCCCCAAATTACACCCATGCTGTTGGATGAGGACCTCGCTGACAATTCAATATTTATCTTCTGCTGATTCGACTGTTGCACAAACCTCCTTAATTCAGAATCTGCTCCCATGAAGCTTGACGCACTATCACTGTAAATCTCCGGAGGTTTCCTTCTTCTTCCAATAAAACGTAATAAGGCCATTATAAATGAACCAGTAATCAAACTATACATCAGTTCAATATGTATTGCCCATGTTTGCAAACAAGTAAACACATATCTATATCCTTTTTCTAATGACCTTCCTATGTGTCCTGGTTCTTTATGACAATGTCTAATTATCGTTTCCGTCACTAAGTGTCGACTGGGTAAAATTACTGGACGTTCAAAAGCATTTAATAATTCTGAGTAGCTTAGACGACCTGTAACACAGAGTAACCCATCAAGCATTATCGGTGATAAACCTTTCAGATCATTATGACTTACTACTTTACTTCTGTTTCTAAATTCACTAAATAATTCTCCACACACTTCCTTTTGAACCATCAATAAATTCTTACCCTTGGCGATGTCAGGCTCCTT